GTTCTTATGTTACTAGTTACTACTTAGTCTACACGAACTTTATAAATATTAATATAATAATACTTGTACTACCAACCTCAACCTGGGTATCAGAAATTTCAGAATCAGCCTCAAGCTCGCTCATCATCTATGCATGCTTTGTGCCTTTATTCAGTGTTTAGTGTTTGAACTTTAGTACTTTACACCTTCATGACCTTCAAGCTGTTATCAAATATTTACAATTGTAGTATATTTTAGCAGAAGAAAATGGCAGGGGCCTCATGGCAACGTCGTATAAACATCGGAAAGTGTCGAGAGCATTTCGGGACTTAAAAAATATAAAATTTTGCGCTAAAAATAATGTTTACCGTCTTTACTGTGAAGAGTGGGAAGTTGCGAATAACGCTGAATATAAATAAGATGGCACTTGCACAGTTGCACGGCATGGGTAAATTGACTATTGAGTATTGATTTTAAGCAAACCGTGTCTCAATATCATGCTATTCTATCGAATAGCGATTTTCTGTTTGAAAAGTAGTCAACTACTTGGCTACTTTTAGGCAAAATGTAGTTCGCTATAATTACAGCTACTGTTTTAAAAAAGTAGTCAAAAACTACTGGCTACTTGAAAATTGTAGTTCGCTACAGTAGCGAACTACAACTACTTCGCTACTACCCACCCTTGGTCAGCAGTGGGCGATACAAGACCACCTCTGCTTCATGCTGAAATGAATTCTTGAGCTGTTTCAGTCGACTTCATAGCATGCAATAGAATTTGAATTTCCTCATTAGATTTGTCCTTTTTTGCTCTATTTTTCTGATGCAGTTTACTTACTATGTAGCCAGCGATGTAAGAAAGAGGTCCGTATTCAGCAGGATCAAGTTTTGAAGCATTGTCGTCACCTTGAGTTTGGTTGCTTGTCATATTGGTCCTGTTGCAAAAGCCAATAAGACAATCCGGCAACTGTATCATGATTAAGTTAGCTATTTTAGAGTCTTTGCATTTTAGCAGCTCGCATGATCGAGGGATCAGACCATAAAACAATTCCGGCATCTTGTCTTGGTTTCTTTTCCTGGTAAACGTTTTGTAAATCGGCAGGACAGCAGTAAACAAGGCTTTAGTGGATGACACAGCACCTAACGCTTTATTTGTTTCAGTACTGTAAAGATCTTTGTCAATTTTACGTGCTTTAATGGCTTCAACAAAGCCACATACGGCGTTTTCGTCGAGTAAAACTACGGAACTTTCCTCTGAACATTCGGCTAAGTTCCCCTGTGGCCCGACATGTTTTGAGTTCTTGTGCTTTGTGAGACCACCTTTTGACTTGCACACTTTGTCGCATTTGTCACAGGGGAAAGATTTCTTGCCTTCCATTTCTGTCACAGCATCCAAAAATACGCTGTCTATCTCGTCTGCTTCTGTTTCAACAACGGCAACGCTCAATTCAAGGTTAAAACAATCCTCCAAGTCTGTTTCATCATGCGAAGACATACACAATCCACTCGGTGAACTGCTAACGGCTTCGGCTTCTGTTATGGCTTCTCCCTCGCTCATGCCACTTTAAAATTAAATTAGTTTCCTTCCAAAGTACTTGCCTTGCACGCCTATAAAATATTCGTTTTTGTCTGGCAAAACAATCTGAAATTTGACTGAAATTCAATCTTGTACTATATCAACTCCTATATGCAAATATAATATATCACAGCACTGTGCCGCTAAGTTACCACATGACTTTTTTCCCTTTGATCCCCGACATCATTCGCCGCCCCCTTTGATGTTTGCCGGCTAGCCTAACCATCTCAGTCGATTAACTGTGATGAAACAAAGAAGGTAAACGAAAATTCTGCTAATATAACATTCTACTCTGCCCTTGCCTGCGGAAACATGAAGCTTAATTAATTAAACTCCCTATTTCCAACACCTTGCGGGACAGACTTGTCTAATGTAAACTCTATGGCTATGCATTGTACTTATATCTTAATGATTAAAAAAGCAAAACACAATAGTGATGGCAAATTAAATTTATCTAAAAATAGTGATTCATTTCTGAATTTGAAATGTCATATCAAATCCGACTATTCTGACTTATAAATTTATTATTTCTGTCTCATGGACAAAATGGGATTTGATATATTATGTAATTTACGTGTTTTTATATATAGCTTGTACATCGTCAGCTCCCAAAAAGAGGTCTTCAGACACTCCACATCTCAACCACAATGTATGTAACATTTGCAATAAAAAGACAACAACAAGAAGTAAGGTTATGTGCTGCAAATGTCATCAGTGGCAACACTGTTCATGTGCTGGCGTGCCGTACAAAAAAGCAATAGCCATGCAAGGATCATTTTGTTGCAAAGACTGTAGATAATTTTACAGATTCAAATTTAATTTCAAAAATATTTTGTCATAGATATTTACTTGCACACAATGGGAATAGAACAGAAATAAGCACTCTGTATTAATTACAATTATATATATATATATATCAAGTATTACTTATCAAGTCCTCGATCAAGACTCATGTGCATGGAGGTTTGGTGCTAAATTTGCTTCGTTCTCTGGCTATTATCCCTATTAATGAAGTTGAATGTTCGGAAAATGCCTCTATTTAGATAAAACTAGGTTGATTTATGAGAAGCAAACGATCACATCAGTTCAATTTACGTGTTTATGTGACTATGATTTCCCTGATTTTGATTTTGGAAGTACCGGTACTTTACATAACTTGTGGCATTTTTCTGTGTACTTGTTGTGATATACTTTACCAAACGATGGAGAAAGAAAAACTGGTGCAAATGAGGCATAGCACAAACAATCTTTTTATAGCGACTAGCCCATACAAAGGTTTGCTCACAAGCCATTGTGTTGTAGTGTTCTGGGATCTTGTCATTGGTGTTGTATAATCGCTTACACTTCGGGTCCACATGATTTCTTAGGTGCAACCTATCAATCACCTTGGACACCAGTTTCCACGCTTTATCTAGTGGTGAAGGGAAAGGTAAATCGTGTTTTGCCGCTTTCAGACTATCGACGTGGCACATGTTATCATAAGCAATACAAGTTGATAATATAGCTTCTCTGACTTGCTCTTCGTTTTTTCCATCATCCAGAAGCTTTTTGAATCTTCTGTACAGCCACAAAATTAATACTGTGTAAGCTTGTGTGGGCGATTCTGACCTAAACAAATAGACATTTATTATACTTTATACATTATAGTACAGAACACAACAGTAGTCCAGTTTTAAGACTGTGAAAAAAGCACGAATAAGTTACGAGCCTTGTTTCAGTGTATCACTATTACATTTTAGTATTGTGATGTAATTTCATGAGGGTTTTAATACTATTATTTATTTAGCACATGACGTTTGGCCTCGCATCAGTAAATTACGCAAGGTGATTGGCTCACGATTCATGAGAGCGAGGCTCCCAGGCCAAATGACGTAATTATCGAAAGGGTGTATTTGATTGAGGGCATATAATCATTATTCATTGGTGAATAAAAGTAATATCCATCACTCAGTACTGTTGCCAGAAAACAGTTACATTCCATACTTTCATGTGATACATCTTGATGATTGTGACCTTCGAATGTAAGCCCACCCTGAGTAAAAGTCCCCTACGTGTATAAGCCCACCATATTAACTAACATTCAGGCCATTCCATTCAGATTGATATTGTAATAAAGCCTTGTGTTGTGCTCCTGTCCTGGGCGTGGGGATGTTTACAAAGAGTAGCCATAGCAGCCGATAGGGGATGAAGCATTAACATTACAATCCCGGGATGCAGGTATTCCGGGATTGTAACCCCAGGGATGGCTGATGGTAGGTGCATAATACCGTATGTAACAAATAGTGGTCTAACTTATTTTGTTATAAGCATTTCAATAACTCAAGTAGAAATTCCATAGTCCTTTGAAGGTAGTTTGAAATTACACTTTCATGTTTACAAATCAGGGTTTAATTTCAAGTACCTTTCATTTGGCATTTTGGCCTTATTCTAATAATTGTCACCATGGCTTTCATAGCAAAATTGAAAAATTCAAAATTATATGCGAAAATTCTTCCTTCCCTCAGACCAATAAGCATGTCACATATTACCTGTACAAAGGTTGCCGGTATTCTATATGTCCACCAGCACTTACAATAAAAAACATCCCCCGCGACCAACACTGCAAGCTTTTAAGACCTCCTGTGTCTTTGTTGCACAATATCTCACTGTCTAGAGTGCTATCCTGTACAAAACTACCTGAAAGAGTTAATTGAAATTGAAGATAACAGTCATGGTATCATGGAAATATTGCTAAAATATTATAAATAAACTTTATGTTAAAACTGACATATGTCAAGAGTTACACAGTTGAATTGGTTCATACACAGTCAATTAGACATGTGAATGGTGAAACCTACCCTGAAAAGTGGATGCATTGCATACATTCTCATCACTTGAGGTTTTTTTTCTACACTCCTCCAAACATTTGTCAATCTGTTCTACAGAGTCAAAGGAGTCTATATAATGCACACAAGTGCTGGTATAATAAATAATAAAAAAATTAATGCAGTTCATAATCATACATGTAATTAGCCAATCTGAAGTTGATGAGAGGACTGGGGACGAGTGTTAAGAAGTGCCCAAATTAAGAAATTAGTAAGTATAAAAATTTTGAAAACGTTTACATGAATACCCTTCGAATAATAAGCTTTTGAAAATTGTGAAATTACTGATTAAAAGATTGTTTTTGGGACGTGCATCCTAAAAGAGAAAATTACAATACATCTCATTTTATGTGCAAATCTAAATAATTCGAACATTGACATTCAGGGAATTCACCAAATTCAACTGCAACCTCGACGTAAATCCATTTGCCTTCAACATTTCAAAGACTTTTGTCAGCCGCGCTGATTAAGAAGGCTCTGTTGTTAATATACATTTTTATTTGTTCTAGATCAACCCGTAATAGCATATTTGCACAACCTTTCTCCTATCAAAGAACAAATCAGAGTATTTTAAATTTGTATTTTGATATGCAATTACAAACAAAGGACAAGAATTACAGAACGGTGTGTTTTTCACCTGAAAAACATGTGCTTTGTAAGGCTAAGTTTGAAACGTCATCTCCAGTTAAACCATAGATATACTTCATCTGTGGTTAAACTAACTAAATTTCAACTGAAAAGAAATATCAACAGCAATGAAGATGAAATCTTCATTAACAAAAGATCAAAGCTAGAAGACCCATCGGACCCAGAAATTGACTTCGATTTTAAAGTTACAATGAAAGCAACTGAAAGTCAAATTGCTCCTGGTATCAACAACAACAACAATTTTAATTCATAAATAAAACATACATACTTACACATAAAGAAATTTTACAATACTTCGGACACTGACTTCCCAAAATAACCACAAAGCTAAAGATGCTGGGAAGCCAGTTTACAAGTTGATTACTAAATTACATAAAGCACACATACAAAATTATAGCAAAAATTACAATTATACTGTATATACACACGAAGACAGACAACTTATATAATACAAATAAACATATACTAGAGTTTTTCTGTTTTTCTGTCATCAAATTTAGAAAAAGTCATAATAGTCCGGCAGCCAAACGTGTATTTTCCACAAAAGCTTGCAAAGGCTTCCATACAATGTTTTTTGCATATTTTAGTTTGGGGTATTGCCTTTAATAATCCATTTGATGACACCCCATCAGGTTTGGGCGTTAACAGATAACAAGTGTTTCAGATTTGCCTTCGCGGACAGGCGTCCGCATATAATTGGGCTCTCTGTGGTAAATAGGACATGCTATGTTATTGGTCATTGATGTGAAAATATGGGTGAATTTTTTTCACAAAAGTGACCAGTTGAGTTAAACACTTGAGTATTATCAAGGGAACAAATGAAAATAATCCAAAAACTACGTCAAATTTATACTAGTGCCAGGACCCTCACATATTATTCGTCATTCAAGATGGCGCCCACCTTGCTGCTCTGTTATAACAGTAAGTATTTCTTCTGAAGAACTTTAAAAAAGGCTCTAAATTTGACTCGAATGTAAGTTAATTACTGATGTATATCATAGAAGGTAGTTTCAATTGTATATGTAATACCAGTCCATGTATATTTTTTAATACTTTTTTGAACTAATGTCGCTACTTCAAATGCTCGAAAAAAAAAGCCTAAAATCAGATTGAGTTTCTGTTTATTAGTATTCCCGCGGCTGTCAAGTTTTACTTTGTATAATTTAGTTATAATTCTATGTATATATATATATATATATATATATATATATATATATATATATATATATATATATATATATATATATATATATATATATATATATATATATATATATATATATATATATAGATAGATATAGATATAGATATATAGATATATATATAGATATATATAGATATATATATAGATATATATATAGATATATATATAGATATATATATAGATATATATATAGATATATATATATATATATATATATATATAGATATAGGTCAGGAAGTCTAAAGTAGACAAATATATTTTGTTATAATTTCTTTTCAAATAGAAATAAGTTTATTTTGAGGGATAAATAAATGCTGATTTTTAAAATTAAATGATTATTGACAGAATACTGTACGTGTAACGTCCTTTTTCGAATATGGAAGTGTGTAGACCAGCCTCATTGCGCCAAACGTATCAACCTAGAGCGATTGTGCCATTTTGTAGATTGCAATTAGAGTTCCCGCTAATGGAAAAACAATGTTTTTTTAACTGGAAATATGACTGTGGTGACAAAGGTGACCTGGCGAAGGCGGGCCCCGATCACATCCGAACAATAGTAAAGTTTTCTAAAGAGTACAGTGACAACATCCATGTTGACCTAGTAGATAGATTGGGGAGGAATCCAGAACTGACCATCGAGTGTCATAGGAGCTGTGTATCCACATACACTTCTCAGCAACATTTAAATCGTTACAAGAAGAGAAGTTGCCCCAGCGTTTCAGCAAGTCAGCCGTCGAAAAGACAATGCTGCTCAGATGTATCAGTATTTAGTTTCAAAGAGAACTGCCTTTTTTGCGGGGATTGGTGTGAGATTGAGAAAGACAAGAAACATCCAGACCAATGGAAAAGAGCAGTGCTTTGCCGGACTACATATGCAGGTCCTCACAAAAAATCGTTTAAGGAGTCCGTATTAGAAGTATGCACACAACGCAATGATGATATTGCCAACCAAGTGAGAGTTTGCATTGAAGGGGCTTTATGTGATCTGCATGCAGCTGATGCATGGTATCATGTTAATTGCATGACAAGCTTCATGTCTCATAATTCTATATCTGCTGCCAAAAATGTTTCAAAGGAAAACAAGAATACAGATCCTGCATTTGATCAAATCATTGATGAGATGTCAAAAGATAGGTCACGTTTGTGGAATTCAGTTGAACTGTATAATCAATACCAGCTATTTGGCGGAAAAGCACTTCTGCGAAGATCCCTTCTTGTGAAAATTCGAGATCACTTTTTGGATGACATTGCGATCCTCGCCTGGATTGTCAAGTCTTGTGGTGTTTAGACAGAATGCGTCGACTGTATTACATCTCGCTGGCGATTCAGAAGACGACACACAAGATCTCTTAATTAATCGGGAAGCTCGCAAAAAGCATCCGTGATGAAGTACATCAGATAGATCATGATCAGTCTCGGTATGATATAAACATCACCAAGAAAGATATGTCGATACCAGTTAGTCAAACTGTCATTCTAGCAGCATTAACTGATAATTTAAAGGACACTCTCCCGGCACTTTTGATAGCCAACATAATCACCAGTGTTCTATCCAACAAACCTACGCATCTGCAGATAGCCCTCGGTAATTTAATTAGAGACTCGAAGTCACTAATAAATCGATTGTATCAGTTCAGAGTAACCTGTTCTTATGATGAGATACTACGCTTCAAGAAGTCAGCTGCCCTGGCAGCAACAAAAGGATATCAAACTAAGCGGGATCAACCATGGAGGTCTGGGGCTTATACAAGCTGTTCCAGACAATTTTGACGCTGACATATCGTCTCAAAATGGTAAGATGTCAACACATTCTCTCGCCATGCTCATTACTCAGCCATCAAATGCATCAGATGATGACCAGAGCACAAGGGAATCTATTCCGAGAATGAAGAAGTCAGAGATGTCGAAAGACACAGATTTTGAGATTCCGGTACAGCGTTACCAGGGACCAAAGGTAGTTCCAATGCCGAAAAAATGCTCTAAGAAGAGTGCTCTTCCACTCAAGGTCCTATGTGGCGCCATTCTTTCAGAACGAAGAGCAAAAGTACTTGACCTAGCTTTCTTGAGAGATGTTACCAACACTGAAGCGTGGCCGGAATACAATGGGTACAACACTAGGATGACTAGGCAACAAGGAGTCTCAATGCAGCCAAAGACAAAGGCAGTTTATCTACCTCTTATTGACATGACACCATCCGACCCAGACACAATCATGACGGCCCTTCACGAGGCAAAACGGCTGTCCAAAGAATGAGGGCAGAAGAACACAATTTTTACAAGCGACCAGCAACTATATAGAGTTGCTGTCGAAGTGCAATGGGCATATCCAAGTGAGTTCTCAGACGTAATTATACGACGTAATTATACGACGTAATTATACGACGTAATTATACGTCTTGGAGGGATGCACATGTTGATGAGCTTTGCCGGCGCTATTGGCACCCTGGTGCAAGGATCTGGCCTCTCAGAGATTCTGGAGTCAACCTTCGCAGGAGTAACAAAAATGCTGTCTGGTAAGAAATTCCCACAGAATGTCAGAGCAATGAGGATTGTCCTTGAGGAGTTGCTGAGAAGCACCATGAGCGAATGCAGCATTACTACCATGGAAGAACTGTTAGCACGGCTTGACCATGCAGCAAGTACGAGCAACACATCCAAGCTGTGGGTCGACTGCTTTATCAAGCCTGTCTTTATCGTCATGTTATATGTACGAGCCGAGCAAGAAGGCGACTGGCCTCTTCATTTGCTAGCTGTGAAGCAAATGCTGCCATATTTTTTCGCATCTGCTCATGTCAACTATGCCCGATATGGTCTCTACTATATGCGTTCAATGGAAAGCTTAGGACCAGAGGAACTTTTGAAGTTCATGAAAGGCGAGCATGTGATGCACCATGTCCCAGGGTTATGGAATGGCATTTGGAGTGACATGTTCATTGAGACAACTTTCATGCGCTATGGTCATGGCCCTGCATGGGGAGATTATTGGAATTACCTTGAAGCCTGAAACCCTCAAGACATGGGCTCTTGGCTTACACGTCTGCAGTCGCCTAGAGCAAGACGTTGATAAGCTTTTAGAGAAGGACCAAAACACCACGCAGGAAGCACACAAGGAGGAAATGAAGGCAAGGATAACCAAAGATGGTGCTGATCAAGAAAGCATCAGAGACAAGCTCAAGCTGTGTATTGATCCGCTTGCTCCAACATCACATCCCCCAAATATTGTGAACATAGTGAGTGGTCAGGTGGCGGATCACAAAGTAAATGTTCAAGATGCTGTAGCTATTGGTACCAAGCAAATGCAAGAATTCGAAAAAAGCTGGCCAGAAGGGTTCGGGAGTACAATCTCAAAGAAAGTCAAAACTGTTGCAGACAGTAAGAAACATATCAAGGTTGGCTCAAAGAAGGTGTATGATACTTCGGTGATTTGCAGTAGAGTGATAGGCATCCAAGCAAGTTCATGGGACATTGATATCAAGAAGGTATTGAGTCATGAGCTGGCTCCTGTGCCGACGTCAATGTTTCTTGACTCAGGTGCAATGCGAATCTGCAAAGCAACATCGGAGTTTAAAAAGCGGCTTGCAAAAGAAGCATCATCGCGATGTAATATGTCCACTGTTGCGGCAACGGTGCTGGATGGCTCTGCAGTGCTGTGGGTTGTCCATTGGCCGGTTAAAGGTGTTATCGCCGACTTCGTGGAGAATTTCAAGGGGTTCTTATTGAAGAAGCTACTAGATTCTGTTGTCTACTTGATCTTCGACAGGTATCGCGAGTACAGCACCAAGAGTGTAACAAGAGACGCGAGGACATGTGAGGCAAGCAGGGTGTATCAGCTTACACAAAACACACCTCTTCCTTCACAGAAGGCTGTGCTAACAGTTTCTCCCAACAAGAAACAGCATGTCTAGAATCATGTCTAGAATTTGCAACAACATTATCAACAATGAAGCATTCCATATTCAACATACTATGGGGAACAAGCTGGTTATCACAGGTAGCAACAATGTCCCAACCGAGATCCACAAAGAGCTTGTCATTGCAAGGAGAGACATTGCAACATCTCACGAAGAAGCAGATAACATCATTGTACAACAAGCTATCATGTGTGCAAAAGAGCAATCCGGTGCTACAGTTGTTGTTGCAGATGACACAGATGTGTTTATTCTGCTCCTGTATCATTATTGGAATGAACGTCTTACTTGTCTCACTGATTCAGCAAAGATCACTTATTGACATTAAGACCACTGTACAAGCCCACCGTATCATCATACCTGGTTTACCAGCAGCCCATGCACTATCCGGTTGTGACACTGTACCTACATACTTCGGAATTGGCAAGGGAACTGTCTTGAAGAATCTTATTGCTGCTCCCAACTCGTTGTCGCTGTTGGGATGTTCAGATACGCCACTTCCTGATGTTGTTGACCAGGCAACAAAGTTTATCAGTGCTTGCTACAGCAAAACAGTTCATGAAAAGGCGATGTCAGATACAAGATCTGGACAACAAAGTTTGGAAATACTGCAACTTCAGCCCCATAGATACAAGCACTGCCACCTACCACAGAAGCATTTGTAGAGAACGTGAAGAGAGCCCACCTTCAGACCGTTATTTGGAAAGCAGCAATGACCCTAGATCCACCTACTCTTGATCCAGTCGAATACGGATATGTGAGACAGGAGCCTTTCAAGTCATTGCTTCCAACAACTGTACCAGACGGTGTTACATTGGCGCCAGATGATATAATGTCTCTGATCAAGTGTAACTGTGAAGGTGCCTCAGCGTGCAGAAACATGAGGTGCAGCTGCAACCGCAGCAAATTGCCATGCACTTTGTTTTGCAAATGCGACACTGGAGATGAATGTCTAAACAAACTTACCAAGATGGTAGTTATGCCAAGAGAGGTCACCGACTAACTCTTAGCCTTAATCACCAGAATATAGTCAAAACCAAACAACGGCGCTATCGACTGATGATTTAGTGGAGTACTGTTTTTATTTACATTGGTAAAATGAGGTCAACAGAAATATACCACTAAGTCATCACACAGATACTGTGAGAGTATCAAAGAGCCGCGCAGGCCCAGTTAATTTTGTAAGCGAGCAACTTTTTATCAGATGACTCCTAGAAACACTATCTTATAAGTTCGAATCATACGTTAATAAAGGAAACCGGAAATTGTGTATGTTGATTATTTGGTAGTTGCTAGTTTTATAACGTCATGAATGATATGTCCCACCAACCCAAACCAACCCAACCACTCATAATTCCTGATAATTCCTGATTCGATAAGAATTTGAATAAGTCGGTACAGAAAATTGTATTGATTGATTTATTGCTATTTCTATGACGTGATTAATTCCCCCCTCCCTCCGTAAATCTAGATGGCCAAGAGTAACAGTCTCTCACTCAGATTATTGATAAGGAGTATGTTTTTGATAAGAATTTGAATAGGAACAAGGCAGAAACTGTATTTGTTGATATCTTATTAGTTTAATGACGTCATGAAATATGTCCCCGCTCTTGCCCCCAACAATTATTGATGCCCAACAGTTTTGGCCTGTCATCACTCAGATTATTGCTATGGGGTATATTTTTTATAAGAATTAAAAAAACCCATTGTATTGAAGTAAATGCAAGGTATTTCACACTGGCTGCCAACTATAATACGGACAGCCCTTTTTTGCAGCACAAAAAGTGGCTGAATAGTTGAAGGGTAAGTATTTCCCCAATGATTATCGAGAATATTAGAAAGGGATAAACCATAGCATAATACATAGTTATCAATGTATTATCAGTACTAACAAAATAGCGCAACTTAGATAAGACACCAATGCTTCTTTTAATTTTTTTGCTATACATTCAATCTGAGGTTTTCAGCAGAGGTGCGAATCAATAAAAACGCCTAAATATGTGATGCAATTTTTTTGTTCCAATTGAATATTCAGGTTTGAGTTTAGCAACGGTTGCCATCCTAAGTTTTTTAAAATCTCACTTGAACGAGTTTCATACGATTTTCCTAAGCTAATTATCATATACTGTTTTCTCTCATGAAAATTTTCTAAATCAGAATTTAACTGGTTTTGTATATCTTCTATGCATGGACTTCCTGCGCGGTGTTAAATTTGTATTGTTGGTGCACACACTAGTCATTGAATGAGAGATTGGGAGGCATTTACATAAAGTGAATAACACAGCAAATAACACATTCATGAGATATAGTACAACCAATTTTACACTTAGATCTGTTAGGTACAAATGTACGATTTAAACCAGCAAAGTGTATTTTCACTGGACCCATAAAAAGTTATAGTTTTCTAATTAGAATATCAAGATTTACACAATCGAAAGGTTTTTAAGGTCTACGAAAATAAATCAGTTTATGTCTGTCCATGTTAATGAACCACTTGTTTGTAGAATTTAAAAGCGATGTTTCTGTCGAGTTTTTCTTCCTAAAACTTGCTTCTTGTTGTGTGAGTATGCCTTTTGTTTCCAGAAATGTTGACAATTGATTTGATGTTTTTCAAAAACTTTAGCTACAGCTGAAAGTACTGAAATTGGCTTATAATTATTGCACTCTAAATTGCTTTCTGATTTAATTAAAGATTGGTAATATAATTGCGACCTTTAGTTAAAGTCATCTGGAAAAACACCAGTAAATATTTGAGTCAGGCTAGAAGTTACCCACCAATATTAAACAATCCTTTTTAATATACTATGTACTTAATTTCAGAAGGAAAACAACGTTTGAGTGATCGATAAATATGTTCAACAAGGCTGCCTCTGAGAAATTCCAAAGCTTGACAGACAATGATAAATGTGAGCTATTTGTCAATCCCCAGCTCAAATGCGGGTTAATGAGACGCTAATGGAGTTACAAATTGGGAAAAAATTACCGAGAGTTTTAGAAAAGTCTGAGACAGAATGGTAAATAAAAGCAATTTTTGCCACTGTCAGTTTTATAGGGTTTTTGGGTACTTCCTTGGGTAGAAGAGATTTGCATCACAGATTATGACATCAGTTACTTATAGTGATTAGTGTTGGGGTTAGGGTTAGATTAAGGATTAGGCTTAGAGATAGGGATTGGGTTATATCTGACGCCACAAACAACACAACTAGCCGATCACATGATCAGTTCTCCTCTACCCAAGGAACTACCTGGGTTTTTAATTTATTAAACGAAGAATTTCATGATTCATGCCCATCCCATATCCATGACCACAGATTATGATAGTTTACAGCAATCTAACTACTTGCCACGATATCAAGGCATGCAATCCTGATGAATTTATAAGACAGCTATGTACTCTTTTTTACTATAGTGCCCGCAACTAGGAGAGTATGGTTTTAGAAAGGTAAAATACTTTATAGCTACCCCTCAGGATGTCACTAAAAAGCTTAAGAAGACATACGCTGGCATACAGTGAGGCAGAAAATTTTTTTAAGCATGTTAAAAAATTTTGTGCATATCGGATGTATGCTTTAAACGATAAGCATACTCTAGGCACACGCTGAATACGCTGGAGGTACAACAGATATACAGTACTTGTACGCTGGCATTTCAAAGGATTTTTGTGCGTATGAAAATTATTTCATCAATTTTCATACGCTTCTCATATGTTTCTCATATGTTTTGCTTCTCATATGTTTCTCATATGTTTCGATAAAAAAAGAAGCAACAGGACTAAAAGGACCATTCCCATAAAAAAAGGCAGTTAAAATTTGATGTCGAAGGTTTACCTGGTTTATTAGCATTCCAGAAACCAAGCGGATATAGCACCTCCCAACTGAAGTCCATATTACAGTGCAAAGATCAAATAAAATTTAAAAGAAAGGAAGTCAATGATCGTAGCACCAGTACCTTCACATCCTTTCACAGATACCATCACTTTCACATTCGCAACAGCAGAAATATCCGCAACAGCAGAAACATCCGCAACAGCAGAAACATCCACATTTGCAACAACATCTGCATCAGCAGAAACATGCACAACAACATCCGCAACAGCAAAAACATGCACAACAACATCCGCAACAGCAGAAACATCCACAACAACATCCGCATCAGCAGAAACATCCACATCCACAACAGCAAGAAGATCCACCATCAAACCTTGGCATATAGGATATAGAAAAGGAAGAGTAAAGCCACATATCAAAAGTATCTTTTAACTTTTATTACTGTACATTGTAGCCGCAACACGTCTTTTGAATTGTCAAGGTCTCAGTAAGTGTTATCAATCTAGCCTTCAGCTCGACTAATAACACTTACCTCGACTATAGAACATACCCATTATGATGTTTTGTGGCATAATTTAACTACTAAGACCAGCTTTGCTAAGATAGCTTTGCTAGCTTCTTGGTTGGAAAGCCAGAAAATACTGGCAAATGAAACATACTGGTCTTAGTAGTTAAATTATGCCATGAAATGACATAAGGGGTATGGTCTATTCTAGATATCACAAAGGTCTCGTCCAATAATTGTTTATTAGCATGATTTCAGAATTAAGTGAAATGTTGTCATGATTAGTTCAATTCATATACGGTTTTTGCTTTATTATAATTCTTAGTTTATCCGTTCTGGACGGAGGTATATATAAATGCTAAAGGTGGCCCAGTCGTAGGCAAAGGAATAATAATTCCTGGATTTAATGTCAAAGATGAGCAAGTCTTGCCGTTTAGTGGACTGTACAGAAAGATTTTTGTGAAAAAAGTATATGGTATGATAACATGAATATTAAATATGATAATAATCAAATAATACGAATAATAGAAATGCTATCAGTCATGTGATGAAATGTCCTTGTATGCGAGGACCTCACCCTGAGCTACATGTAAGCATTGTTATTGTTTATAAATACATTATCATTGTATTTATAGAATGCAAGAAAGACCATGATTTAATTGCTGGAGAATACATTATTTGCTTTTGTGTGCTTCTTGCCACAAAACATACAGAATGTGTCAATGGTATCGGAAGCCTGTTCAACATTGAAATACGCAAAGACTTCCGACGTATTAAAGATGACAGCAAAATAGAGGAAATGTGCTCCGCATTAGCTTGTCAGTGTGCTACTTCCACAGAAATGGAATGGGGTGCGATGTGAAAATACAGACTTCAAGAAGTGGTACCATATACATTGTGTTGGTATTGCCAGGAAAGAAGAGTTGCATGAACGATTGGTGGTGTGGTATAGAGACATTCAATGAGAATGATTTCTTTCGGTAATTATAAAGCATATGTACATCAATAATATCCGACAACAAGCGAAAAAACAGCATTATTTTTCACCCTGTGCAGTTTCCTTTGTTCTTATCGGGGGATATAATCAATATTCCCCTCTAATCAATTTCCATTGAATAATCCCCTCTAATATTATACCTGTACTTATAGTGATTTTTTACGGTATTTCACTCAAATTCATGATTTTGCAATCCAGCGTAGGATACTATAATACCCCACGGCAGATCCACCATGGGATATTATAGTATCCCATGCTCACACGTGATGTGTGGACAACACACACTTAGCATAGCTATGGAAAATGGCGGGAGAGCAAGACTCAGACAAAGAAATAAATAGACTTCTTGAAAACAAAGATGCAAAAAAAACACCCAAAAATCAACAAAGTTTGCAGTTTGTGTTTTCCACGGCGCAATTGAAGACTTTGAGAAAGCCGAGCAGAATATAGAAAGCCTCGATAAAAGCTTGGCAAAGTTTTTTGCAAATGCAAAAGGAAAAGTTGTGACCAAATACAAAGCTAGTGCTTTACAAACATTAAGAAACGGACTAAGGAGACATTATTTGGACCGATTGGGCATTGATATTGTCAACGACAGGTCGTTCACTTATAGTGCAAAGGTTTTCAAAGCTTCAGTCACCAATTTACGTCGTCAAGGTCTCGCTACAGTACAACATCACATACCTATAACGAAAGTTGATCTGGCAAAACTTTACACTGGTGAAACGATTGTTTTTTATATTCATGCACCAAATGGATTGCTTAATAAAGTTTGGTTCGAAGTTATGTATTTCCTGTGCAGAAGAGGGCAGGAAAATTTTAGAACAATGACGAAAGAAACATTTGAACTCGCAGTTAACAGCGCCGGAAAACAATACATATTTCAAAACGTTGGTGAGCTTGATAAAAACGACTGTGATTTAACAACAGGTGCTGTATCACAAGGGCGAATGTATGAGCAACCAGGTATGTTTTGTTTATGAATTTTGTATAAAATCTCTCTATTTTCTATGAATGCTTGTTCAGTTCTAATATTGATTATTGGCATTTGGAAATTTTTTCAGGAGAACCTACCTGCCGAGTTGAATCATTCTTGAAGTACCTTAGTAAACTAAACAAAGGAATACCGGCACTGTGGCAAAGACCTCTTGATTCATTTAATCCCAACAATGAAAGTTGGTACTACAAAGCTCCACTTGGGAAAAATATGCTAGGAACAATGATGAGTAAAATTTCACGACAAGGACAGTTGTCTCAACGATACACAAATCATTCAATACGATCAACTGCTATAACAGTACTGGATGAAGCAGGTACATTTAAATTACTTTGATATATAGGCTATGAAGCAGGGCATATTATGGCAATTTCAGGACATAAAAATGAAGCCAGCATTAGATCATATTCTTCAAACGTGTCAGAAGATCAGAGTAGAGACATGTCTAATGCATTGATGTTGCCCATGACTAACAGTGCTGACACAGTTGATACCATCCCAGCAAACGAAAGTCTAACTTCTCCTGAAAGATCACTGGCACTGCTCGACGATATTGATATTCCCTCCACTCCCCAGCTTAACCAAGTCATGAATACAGTCCTTTTTCCCATATTGTCAACTTCAAAGGATATATTTAAAAACAATACATTTGAAGGCTGCACAATCAACATAAATTATTGTGGCCAAACATTGCATGAATGAATTATGAAATTCAGTTTCATTGAAGCATTTTTAACATTGTTGTAAATTATCATTGTTTATTAAATGTATTTTTCTCTGCATTTTATGGGTTTTTGTTCGGTATAATATATAATTTATAGACCCTCCGCTCGGGGAATTCGGCGATATTTCCCTCAGTGAGGATATTTTACTCAGGGCAAAGCCCCTCGGAAAATATCATCACTTCAGGAAATATTACGCCAAATCCCCCTCGCTCCGGGTCTATAAATGATAAATATTCACCTGCAATGTCTTTGCAGCACAAAAAAGAGAAAAAAACGAAACGAAGGCAATATGACATTGAGAATTATGCATGGATCAATTGTTGTTGTTACCATCCCCCCCCCCGGGCAACCCCCGGGATAATGCAGAAACTTTAATCCCGGAGGTGGGGAATTGTTAGAAGATTTTGTCCCGGGGGTTTCCCCGGGGTAAAAAGCAAAACTCGTATCCAGGACCATGTTTTGACCATGTATCTAGCGGCTAGCACATCCAGTGACATGTGTATAGTTCAGTGAGTGCACGTCCAAAAGTATTCAAAATGGTGACTACCTTGTGCTCAATTCAAGAGGCTTTTTTTGGGAAAATCTTGCAAAATGTGCGTTATAAACTGCTTATTGATATTTCTTATTTTTAGTTTTTTAGCGATACCCTGGGCTGGGGAGTTGTCAAGTTTTAAAGTCCCGGGGGTGGGGAATTTACTACGTTCTTGCAATAAAATACAAATCCCGGGGGTATTGCCGGGGGGGGGGGATGGTAACCGCACAAATTGATCCATACACTATTTCTATTCTGACTCATTAACACTACCTCGCAATGTGAAAAAGAAGTATGTTATTTTGAGGCACCTCGGGATATGGGTTTATTCACATATCCCCTATACTTAACTTACTTAACTAACTTACTTATACTTGGTTTATTCACATATACCATATACTTATACATATAACCTATACTTACTTTACTGTCTGACACAGGGCTGGTACCGGTCCTATAGGTATCTGTCTGACACCACATCTACTAAGGGCATGTAATTAGTCAATTGCATGAGAGAACATAACAGCAAAGTATTTTTTTTATTATATAGCAAAAAACACCTGTACGAAAATCTAGACGGGATGCTACTGATTTTAGAAACAGCAGTTGAGGTAAGTGATAAATACTTGCAATTTAATAAGTTATTTGCATTTTGCCATTTGATTGTTGTAATCGTTGCAAAACACCATTTCAACATTTATGTCATTTGGTCTGGGAACCTCGCTCTCATGAATCGTGAGCCCACCTTGCATAATTTACTAATGAGAGCGAGGCTCCAAGACCAAAAAGTATGTGCGACGGAATTATCGAAAGGGTGTATAATAAGTACCATGGTGATTTCCACAAATCAAAACGAATATTACATTTATAATATCATGTATGTGGACACCACAATCTTTTTGATGACCTTGTGTAGGGCCATTAAAGATGGTGGTAACAAATGAAATCGGAAGTGTGAGTAATATGCTCTTTCACAAACATGAAAGAAAGGAAAGAAAGAGCATTTTGAAGTGGCTATCAGCAGAATGTAAAACTCCATTTTCTGAGGAATTAGAAAGTATAGCAAAAAATACAATTTGTGAACCTTGGGATGTTGTATCAGTAAACTGAGTAAAGACTACAGGGGTCTTACGTTTTCTAATTTGGTTTATATGAAGTGTGACTCATGCCTTAGAAAAATGATTTCTATATTTTGTCGTTTGTAATTGTCATAATCAACCAATTTTCAATAGTAATGTTTACTAGAGACTCTAGTCAGGAAGTAATGTCACCTTGTCATTATAGCTTTCATGTAGACATAGCGTTTGCTCGAAACATATAGCTTTAAACACTCAGGTTATTACTAAGCAGGTAATAACATACACACAAGCCCACAGGGTGAAATTTCTAAGCCTCATTTTGTTTGCACAGGATAACAATTTTCTTGATGTCGTGATGATCAATTTTTCAATTTTTCTATGTTTTAAGTATTTAAAATACAATTTTGATCCGTTTTTGGTGTCTTTTGGTCATGATTTTTGTTGTTAACTATATTATTCACAACACTACCTGTGAACAGGCATACTCAGGCACCAGGAATTCTGGATTTTCTGATTATGCGTGTCCCCAAGTCAGATGCACAGCGGAATATATGCCTGGCTTCCGGTACATACTTCATTTAACCCTTAGTATATACCTCAAAGACAAAGCACAACCGCTTCTGCCACACGGTACACACACACGGTGGCTTAAGTAACTGTAATAAAACTTGAAAAAAATACAGTTTGCTGGGGGAAGATAGAGAGTTAGATACCACAAAAAAAACACTTTATTATTGTGATTTTCTTGCCATAGTTATTTAATTACACCAATTGACACTAAAATAAAACAAAATTTGTAGTTGGAAGTGGAAATGAAAGTGATTAAATCACGCAGACAATACACAAAAAAAAATTATAATTCAATTCAAATTAAGGTGCTGCAAGTGAGATGCCAACAAAATCAATATAAACTTTGCTGTCATTTGTAGGAATGTAACTACCTGAAAAATATTTCTTACAAACGTCCAATGAAGAGCCTTTTTAGGTAATTACATCCCTACCAATGACAGCAAAGTTTGTACAATAGTCAATAGCAACAAATTCTTGTACATTGCAACCCATGGATCATTGCAAGCTTAAAGCTGCATCATTGGCATTGTCTACACAATCACATTTCATGGACTCTATATTTCATAATGCTCCTGGGGGTGCATGCCAGCCCCTAGTGGGTCTCACACCTTTGGCATTTGCTTTGCCCCCCCCCCCCCCCCCCCCCCGCCCCCCTAAAATGAAGCTCTGGCTACACCATTGTTGCCTCTTTAATTAATGTACAATGCTATGAAGTGTTCAGCATATGGAATACACAAGCATTGTGTACACATTACTTTGTCTATTGAGTTGTCTCAATATTGATTGCTAAATAGTATCATTTATTTACATTAGTTGCTAAATATTTTTCATCTTGGTGTGTTAGTCATTAGAAAAGGTATAAGTTGCAAACTTGGTATAAAATGCAGACAATGGATTAAACCATAACAAAGGGAAAATACAAAGGGGCAAAATATCTGCTCATTCGTATAAGTCAATCCACTTTTCCAAAATAAGTTAATAAATTACACTGCAGTTCCATAATTATAATAACAGTTTTGGTATCAGTCATAATTTGAATATTGCAAAAAATAATTTATTATATCTCATTATATTTCCAACCATTGATCTTGGCTGTCATTAAAACTGTCAGCCAGGGACGCCGGCCCAAGGGTAGGGCACAGGGGGGCAATGTTGATGTAAGGGCAATCACTAATGAATATTTTGCTTACGACAATTTTTTTGGGACCTTCATTCACCAAAAGAAGGGCAAAAAAATTTTAAAACAATTTTTGACACAATATTCCAGAAAATTTCACGTATATTTCAATATTTTGGGTTAGAATTTTTATCTATAAGCGCACTTTTGCCCCCCCCCCCTGCACCCCCCTTTCCAGCATCCCTGTTGTCAGCACTACCACTGGTAAACCAACATAAATGGACAGTAACAGTTTGATTCAAATATTATATCTGACAGTTTGAAGTTAAATAGTTGATTAATATATCTGACAGACAGAGTTTGAAGTTGATTATATCTCAAGTAAGGTAACCCAATGACTGGCAGCACTCTCCCCTTTATCAGTAAAATTGTCTGGCAATAGACAGAGTAAAGTAATATTATCTCATACCTAGTGTATTAGCGGCTTTCCTATTGGCTACGAGGAGGTGCGTTCAATCTCTAACCCACCTGCTGACGTATGTTTAGGAGGTGGGTTCGAGATCAATGTTTTGGCAGCGGCCATTATGAAGCGATTTGAACAAATTTCAGATGAAGATTTAAATAAATTAACTGTTTTTAATTGTTTTATAATTATTATTTTTTTATTTTGTTTGATGAAAATGGAATATTCTGTATTCAAAGTGGAAAAAAAGAAAGATAGCCACCGAAATTTGTTCGGCACAAGCAGGTTTATATAAATCTCGCAGAATGTGTTTATTTTCTTTTTTGAAAAAAAAAGGGAGTATTGTAGAGAATTTTTTAGCTTTAATTTAAGCCTAAGTTTGTTTGTTTGCATAGTATGTTGGCGGCTAAAATGTTCATTATCCAAACACAAAATCACATACTAAAAAGTAAAATGCGTATAAAATTCTTCAGTAGTTTTTAGTATTTTACCGAAATGGCATATCCTCGCTTTGCTCGGTGAGTTTGGTAAACTTCCAGCCACCCTCGGTGCGTCCAATCCCGGACTCACCTCCCTGCAAGTATGTTTGTTACAAACCGGTTGTATTAGGGAGCATTGCCACTTAATTAAAATGTTAATTAAAGGAAGGCAGCAATTCAATATATTTCTTATTAATGTGACTATGTTTATTCCATATACTGCAAAATTTTATACCAAGTCTTCAATTTATACTCGTTTATATGCATTTTATACTTTTCTGTCTGTACATAGATTATACTTATCAATATACACCAAGATTGACTATGCTGATCGTTTGTCAGCCCAAGAGGGCTGAAATTTACTGTAAATATAATTTAATAATTCATTATAATGCCAAGTTAACAACATCAGATGTAGATGCTATAGTGATGGCATTGTGGATAGAAATCGGCGTTGCATACTTGCATTGTGTTGTCATCCTTGCGTAGCTGATATAAACCAAAATACAAATATACTAGTCGCATATTCGTCCCGTTAATACTCCCGTACGTCTGTAAAACTGAAGAGGTTTTTAAAAAATTTCACCTTCAACATTCAGTGTTGCAACCAATACAAAAAGCAGAATGCACAAAAATCAACATGGCAGATGGGACGGATGTCTTTGCCGCTAAGGGTAGTGTTTTTGGTAGTACAATTGCTGATCGTTTAAAGAACTCAAATGTATCTCAAATCGATAAAATTATTACTGTTGTTAACGGAAAGCTGAAATGGAATGAAGATTTTGAATCACTTAAATATTTTATCAAAACAACTCTCAATCTAACAGGAAAGTGGTCTTCGCTTGGCGGGCATTTAAAACCATTTGATGAAGATTCTGGAAGACTTATTGTCAGGTTTTATATCTGCCTCGCTACTGTTTCAAGGCGATGAAGGTAAAACGTTTAACAACATTTGATAGAGAAAATAGTGGGCAAACTTGAGAGTGTCCAGGATATAATTAATGAATCAAGTAACAACAACATATATGTGCTTCGCTTGAAGAAACTCTCCTTTGCAAGTCAATTAGTTCAAGTAATCTCTCAACTGACTTTGCTAGCAGTCTACCGTACAATGACACAGGATACCCATGCTCCAGCACTATCTGTGATAACATTCTGCCTGGTGAACTTGAAACTGGGGTGAGCGAACATGCTAAAGCTAATATTGCTTGCCAGACTTTTGGTGAGGAAACTGTTGAAATACAAACTCTGCACACAAATAGTCAGGTCAACAGAACCCAACAAGTCATTACAGACATTAAAAGTCTTAAAACAACAATCATAAAGCTTGAATCAATAGTTCACTCTTTGGAGAATACAATTAAAGATCATGATGCGGTATTATCTTTGTATAGCAATGCTGCAGACTTAAATGTGAAATACCTGAAAGAACTAAATGACAATAAACAGCATATTATTAGTCAAGGTTGAAGAAGAGAGAGATTCTCTTCAGCTCGCTATTAGGTTAATAGCTCAAGATAAATATTGCCAAAATGAAGCTGCAACAAGTGCTACTATAAACAGCGAGAGCTGCAATCATAAGGAATGGTCGAAGGTACACAAGAGCAACAATATTTTGGATAAAACTAAGGTTAAAGTGCCTATATCATGGTTTTGGAGTTTGCATATCTCGAAAGTTTAGTGTATTTTAAGACACTTTGCAATATATTTTGTTATTGAAAAATTTCATCTTGATGGATTTATTAGCTCTTAAAGTTACCGGGCATGACGTCAAAAGGAGAATTTTGTTGCAATGATACAAAGGAAAACTGATTTGCAATTCTCCTTTTGACGTCATGTCCGGTAACTTTAAGAGCTAATAAATCCATCAAGATGAAATTTTCAATAACAAAATATATTGCAAAGTATCTTAAAATACCCTAAACGTTCGAGATTGCAAACTCCAAAACCATGATATAGGCACTTTAACCAAAAGCAAACAATACCAGTCATTTCCTCTCAGAACAAATCCGAATTATTAAATGAGGATATTAACAATAGCTCTGGCCATCTGGAAAATAATCACGAAAGATTTGAAGTAAATAGTATTCATTCAACACATACTTCTCGTGAGCAACCTCATTCAGCTCCAAATCCCGATCTACATGTTGAAACCATATCTCCAAATAAGCAGACACCATGCCAGAGCAATAATGATGAAAATAATCAAGTTAAGAAATCTAACAGTGATTCTCCAATTGTTCTCATTGGTGATTCCATTGTTAAAAATATTAATCCAAAGAAGATTTCAAAGAAAAAAGTTATTAAACGTACCTTCCCTGGTAAAAATGCTGAAGAAATCAAACACGAGATTAAATCTATTCCCACTAATTCAACTCCATCACATGTTATAATTCATGTAGGAACAAACAACCTCCCGATAAATACAGCTGATGAATGTGTGAAGAATATAGAAGACCTGGCACATAGTGGTAAGGCAAGATTTCCAGGCTCTCGAATCGCACTCTCTAGTATTATAGGATGGCATGACATTGATATAACTTAGTAAATAAAAGTCTAAAGGCTCTCTGTACCAAGCATGGCTATGTTTTTATTGATAACCAAAATATAGACAAATCTTGTCTGAATGGCAGCAATTTACACTTGAATGCTAAAGGCTCGGCTTATTTAGCTGTAAAGTTTATCAAATTTATCAGGCCAAATGATGCTCATGATCAAAACCAAAGAGGCAAGGATTTTCGTCCATCAGTCCATCAACAGCATCCGAAGGAGAAGCTCGTTCGACTACTGCAAAGGACTTATTAGAACCATCTAAGCATGACCCTATGCAAAACTATTACAAAGACCAAGGTAAATCGATTAACTCATTGAATAATTTAAAGGGCATGAAATTAGCTAGCCTTAATATCAACAGCATCACAAAACATATTGACAAACTTTGAATTTTAATGAAGGATAAGCCCCTAGATTTAATAGCAATTAATGAGTCTAAAATTGATGACACAGTTTTAGACAGGGAAATCCATATCATTGGATATAATATGATCCGAAAAGATCGTAATAGAAATGGTGGCGGGGTGATAATCTACCTTCGAGATACTATATCATTCTCAGAACGAAATGACTTGACATCTAATTCATTGGAAATTATATGCCTAGAGATTAAAAAACCACAAAACAAGTCATTTCTAGTATGTGCCAGGTATAGACTGCCAAATTCCAATACCACTCTATTTACTGATTTTGAGGCATTCCTTAGTAAGGGAGTGGTCATTATTTATGGGGAGGGGGGTTGGGAAATGGGGAAAATAAGGATTGAAAACTTTTTTGACCCCCCCCCCTCCAGACTGAAGGCAAACTTTTTGTGCCTCCCCCCTCATAAAAGTAGAAACTTTTCTGACCCCCCCCCAGTGTGGATTGAAAAATTAACAGCGATGAAACAGGTGTGCGTTGCAGGTAAAGTTAGATATTAGGACAATCTGTTTAATCTAGCTCATATGTTTTACCCTGGTGAATATTACTCAACCATATATGATTAAAAAATATATATTATGTGTTACTACTTTGCAATGCAACATTTGTCCTACCATAACCCTAACCCATGACCCGTCTGTGATGGTACGTCATTTAGTATAGTTTTATGGGCTCTTACCCAGTCTACCAGACCTATATAAACACTCGGACACAGAATTTGAGTCATATATTTGCAATCAATCGTTTGGAGTTCAATTAATAGTTTGGAGTTTACATTTACTGTAATTTAATTGTTCTGGAGTTAACTGTTGGAGATATCGGACTATTGGAGTATATAAGTTTACTATCCCGCAAGGACTTTTTACCGTTGGTATGAAATAAAGACTAAACTTTGTACTGGCGGTTAGCTGTGCTAATTTATGGAGACGTAACAGTAAAAAGTCCTAAGATATTAAGCGAAATATGAACAATTATCGAGTTTAAATGTTCGATCGTAGCGGTGTGCAACCGGGTAAACGCTCGCGTGTCTTAACTCAAAAAGGCTTTCATAATGAGCTCGTTAACAAAACAAAGGCATTCAATAAAGAAACAAAGAAACTTCAAAGCGCTATTGATAAACTCTATGAGACGTTCAACAACGCCGAAAATGTGGGAATCACTGAAGCGCTCAAGTCTGTGATGCTCGGTAAAGACGTTTTCGAAAATGTAGTATTGTCTTTAAGAGAACTTTCGGCCCTCGATCGGTGGGGTGAATCAACTGAAGTTAAAGATACAGTCAATTCTACGGCAGCAAAATTTCTTCAAGCTACAGACGAAGCTATCCATGAGGCAAAAAGGAGATTACATCTAGCGGATGAGATCATCCATGCAGCAGGCTGTAAAACTACTACATCATCAGTAGAAACATCAATTAGAAGCGGTTCGCATTCCTCTCTGAAATCCGAACGCAGGAAAGCCCTTGCCGATGCAGCGGCTGCTAAAGAACAGGCTGAGTACGAGATGATAATCGCAGGTAAGATCAACGAAAGGAAACAATTGGAAGCAAAAGAAGAACACCGTAGATTAACAGAGAAGGCTCAATATGAACATGATGTGGCAATTCTAGAGGCGAAGAAAACAGAAGCCATTGCAAAAGCCAAACTGGATGCAATAGAACAATCTATCACTGATGATGAAATAAAGTCACACGGAGATAGGTCAAAGACGCAGACCGACATAAAGAAGGAACAAACAGCAGCGTGGTTGAATGATTTGGCGCCTGATGAAATCGAAACAACCTCGACTGGCACTCACCGAACTCTATCCTCGCCCCAAGTCAGTCCTGACCTGCCTCCTACAGATAGACCACCTGCAATGCAACCAACGCCGAACTCGCAACAACATACTGTTCAACAATCTTCAGACATCTGCCAACGTGTGGGTCTCATGAGTGCCGCCAATGAAAGATTGTCATCAACCCTTGCTAGGCTCAGCTTACCAAAGTGTCATCCCGATATATTCTCTGGAGATTCCACAATGTTTCATCCATGGAAGACGGCCTTCAAAGGAATGTTAGAGAACTGTGGAGTGGTACCTAGCAACGAAATTAACTACCTTCACATATATACGTCTGGGCTACCGCAGAAACTGTGGATAGCTACCGTAGAAGACAACACAATCATCCAGAAAATCTACTAAAAAAACTTTGGGCCGAGCTTGAAGATAGATTTGGCAACCCAGCAACTATCACCAACGCCTTCTTGGCAAAACTGCGCGATTCCTCTAAATTTAGCGACAGAGATAAGGCAAAACTTCAAGCCTTCTCTGACCTTTGTGCGGATATAGCAGCGCAAATGGACTATCTTCCGGGCCTCGCTTATCTCAACTACCCTAACGCCTTGCGTCCAATCTTCAGTAACCTTCCTGAATCTATCTGTGCTAAGTGGAACAAGTATGTCGTAGAACACTCGTTACGAAGTTACGCTGCTTACCCACAATTCTCAGGGTTTGCATCGTTTATGCAGAAGCAGTCGAGTCTGAAAAATCACCCAAACGTCATTGCTGGCTTCAAACGTGAAAGAAAGAAGGCCTTTCACAACACGGTTTTGTCTGGATCAGTGGCCGAAGCTAAAGACTCACAATATTGTCATTATCACAACACGGACAGTCATAACCTTGTAGAACACTAGACCAGAAGACTGAATTCATTAAGAAGACAAAGCTGTGTTTTCGATGTTTGTTGCCGGACCATATTGCCTCTAAATGTAAAGCAAAGGTAAAATGCAGCAAATGTAATAGTGATCGCCACTTAACGCTCCTCCACAAAGATAGAACGAAGAAGAATCAAGAGCAGAGAGAAAATGACAATAAAGGTGATGGCTAGGAGAAAAGTGCGAACGATGATGATGGCGAGAAAGTAACTTCCACTCAGACAAAAGTTGGTGCAATGACAGATGTAGCCGTCTCCTGTAGTAAAATCGTTCTACTCGATATATTCCACCCTAGCAGACCAAACAATATCATATGTACCTACGCTTTGATTGATGAACAGAGTAATGCCTCTATGATCAGCCCAGAGCTCGTAGATCAGCTCGGTATGCAGAGTCCTAAGGAAAAATACTTACTCTCCACATGTAGCGCGTCAAAGGAAGTAAAATTCGGCCGTCGGGTTTCAGGATTACAAGTTAAATCGTTGAACGGTAACTGTGAAGATCTACCAACTGTAATCGAATGCGATAACATTCCAAAGGACAAATGAGAAATTCCAACTCCAGAATTGGCCAAGCGGTATAATCATCTGCGAGATATAGCCAACGACATTCCACCTGTTGATCCAGACGCTGAAATTCAGTTGTTAATCGGTCGGAACGCCCCGGAAATTATCAAAGTAAGAACATTTCGCAATGGATCACCTGGTTCGCCGTGGGCACACAAGCTTTGCATCGGTTGGACAATTTGTGGGTATCAATGTATCGACCGCCTTGGAGGTCCCATTCACGTTCTGACTAATCGAACTGTATATCACAACGTGCAAAGACCAATTGGGATTTATGACGCAGCACCCGAAATTATACAAAATCCTGACGTGAAGGATCAGAGAAAATCTAAGACTTCCCCTTGCATCCAACACCACTTTGCACCCTGTCCCAATAACTTCTCCATCAAAGATCCTTTCTCCAAGTCTCGGGACGAGATACACGTTTACCGGAGAACAGATCGCGATAACGAGCCTTCATTGTCTATCGAAGACCACCGTTTTCTCAAAGTTATGGAATCGACTGCGCAGAAGAACGAAGCGGGAAATTGGGAACTTCCCTTACCTATCAAAGCAAATGATGTGAGTTTCCCGAATAACAGAGAATTCGTTCTTAACCGTCTCAAGAGCCTAATCAGATCATTCCAGAGAAAACCACAACTGGAGGAAGACTACTTTAAGTTCATGGCAAACCTCTTTCACCGCGGTCATGCTCAAACTGTCAAAGCCAGTCCACCGCTGAAAGATGCAATCTACACTTCTAAACGTGACAATATATGGTACCTGCCCCATTTTGGTGTGTATCATCCACGCAAGCCAAACAAAATCCGGGTAGTCTTTGATTCGTCAGCGGTATTCCAAGGCAAGTCCCTGAATCGCGAGCTTCTCTCTGGTCCTGATTTACTTAATAATCTTTTGGGGATCCTGATCAGATTTAGAAGAAAAGAAATCGGTGTTATGTGCGACATCAAGCAGATGTTTCATGCTTTCTACGTTTACCCTCCGCATCGAGATCTAATGCGCTTCTTGTGGTATAAAGATAATGACAAAGAAAACGAAATCGTTGACTACAAGATGACTGTGCATATCTTCGGAAACACCTCAAGCCCAGCAGTAGCAACATTTGGATTACGGAGGACGGCAGATGAAGGGAAGGAAGAATTCGGTGATGCAGCGAACAAGTTTGTCCTTGACGACTTCTACGTGGACGATGGAATGACATCTTGTGACACCGTAGGCGAAACTCTGCAGTTGATAAAGGTTCGAAAGGTAAAGCTAGTCACGGCGACATACGGGGAGAAGAAGCATTACGTACGACCTATCAAGGACCTGGTATTTATTATGCATGCTAATAAATAATCAGTTTATCATGACATTATTAATAGACGATTAGTGTATAGCAAGGACCTTATCATGTCCTTGGACGAGGAGTGTGATGGTACGTCATTTAGTATGGTTTTATGGGCTCTTACCCAGTCTACCAGACCTATATAAACACTCGGACGCAGAATTTGAGTCATATATTTGCAATCAATCGTTTGGAGTTCAATTAATAGTTTGGAGTTTACATTTACTGTAATTTAATCGTTCTGGAGTTAACTGTTGGAGATATCGGACTATTGGAGTATATAAGTTTACTATCCCGCAAGGACTTTTTACCGTTGGTATGAAATAAAGACTAAACTTTGTACTGGCGGTTAGCTGTGCTAATTTATGGAGACGTAACACCGTCTTCATACAGCGAAATGATTTGAACACAGGTTTTTTTTAAGAACTTGTCTGCGGGGTGGGCATCTACAAAAAGGGACCATACTATATTGAGTGTGGAGAGATGACAGATGGTTGTTGGTGACAAAAAGTTTGGTGTGGTATCGTATGTACTAGTAGGGGGGTATAATTGATAAATTTTTTGTATTTTATCACCCCTAGAACTGAAATGTGAACATTTTCTGAAACAGATTTTTGGATATACAACATTACATTGTGCATTGATTTAGACTGAATCTGTTCAGTTAAGTGTACTTGCATGGTATGTTTATGTAAATACCACAACTGGGTCACTCAGGGGGTAGAAAGCTTGTTAAACTTAGTGGGCCCGACTCTCACGATCGCGAGGCTCTATCATGGTTGGCGTCGAGCAGGGAAATTTTGAGTCTCTAGATCGTTGGAAATAGCATTTTCAGAGTCTTCTTTTTTGCTATTTGTGATTATAGAAATCAGAACTCTAGACATGGTATTTAAGTTCAAAAACCTTTATGACCCCCCCTTTCTCTAAAACTTTTTTGACTACCCCCATTTATAAGGGTAAAACTTTGCTTGCCCCGCCCTCCCATTTCCCCCTCCCCCCCATAAATAATGACCACTCCCTAAATGTGATCTCGAAAACTACGAGCTATTAACAATGGGAGATTTAAACTGCAATATTTCTAAGACCCCCAGGACCCTAATACACGCAAATTGTTATTTTCATTCTCGCTGTATCAATTTGATCAGTTAATTAACGAACCAACAAGGGTCACAAGAACGTCGGCTACCATGATCGATTTGTTTTTTACAAATAAACCAGAAAACATTTTACAATCTGGTCAACCTTGCAAGCAAGGGCCTCCACACCCGCCCAGACCCTTGTAAAGGCTGGTCACCTGACCTGTTAATGATTTATTGCCTGAGGGTGTGTGGGTAGAATATCATATTACATGCTTGCACTTTAAAACTATTATTCAATTGCAATGCGCCAGGAGTGACAGAAAAAGTTTTAAACTTTAATATAGAGAATCACTGAATCACCGACTTAGTTTGTGGCAATAATTTGTAACAATGTCTGTATTATGAAGATGAAAAATTAGTTAATTAGTACAATTGTCAACTTTCACAAATGTAGGCAGACTGAGAATCTCATGGGTATGTGTTAAAATTATGTTGTCAATGGCTTTAATTAATACTGGATACAGTCGAGCGGTTTGTAAAACTATTTCTGTGTTTTGTACGACACATTGTTAAAATATGGAACTGCTGCCAAATACAATGGGTGACCTATTATCGAAGTTGCAGATCAAATTTCAATTCATTGTCCAATTCACCTCGCCCGCCATGTTGGACTACATCGCTTTCTTTTCGTGCTTGCAATTTGCGGTTTGTAAAGTGTATATTGCAGTACTATTTTGAAGCCAAAGCAAGTTATATGTCTCGAGTATTTATATTTCAAACATGACATGCTTCGTGTTCTACCTACTGGCTATGGAAAGTCTCTAGTTTTCCATCTTCTTCCTGCGTTGATGTTTGCAAAGGCGATATTAGAACAAGATGTTGGCCCTTCACTCTGGAGTATAGATATGTCCATGGCGACAACCATTGTCGTTATAGTTTCACCTTTGAACGCTCTGATAAGCAATCAGATTGCTTGTCTGTGCTCAAGTGGTATTCGAGCCTCTGTTCTTGGCGTAAAAAGCATAGTTGATGAAGACACAGAAAACTCGTTTGACTGTGATTTTCGTCTTTGTGAGGAAGGGAAACTATGTAGTGGTTACTATCACATCGTCTTCTCGCACCCAGAGTCATTCACTTCTTGCAAATATGGACGAGAGTTACTGAAGAGCAAGACATATCAGGATAATATATGTGCAATTGTAATCGACGAAGCTGACTGTATATTAGAATGGCAAGTCTGAATTTTTATTTTGTCAATTATATTGTAAAAAAACATATGTAATTAAAGTTAATTGATGAAATGTGATGTTGTTTATCCATTACTTTATATGTATTTGGTTTTGTTTGTTTATTGGGGTAGTGATTTCAGAACTGATTACAGTAAGCTGGGAGTTCTATGTGCTATATTTCCTGAAGTACCAGTACTTGCCATGACAGCAACTGCAAATCTACAAGACCAAGAGTACATCAAGGACTCGCTGGGCTTAAAAAGCTGTAGGAACATTGCTGGAAATCCAGACAGAAAGAATATTTATTATGAAAAATTTTTTCGTTGCGGGCAAGAAATCGATTCAGTGGAAGGTATTCTTTATCCAATTGGTAAAGGTTTGTTGAAAGATAGAACTGACTGAGATGGTGTGGATATGCATACAAACTGTTTGAATCTTTGTTGGGTATTAAACAATATTACCCAGACGGTGCACTAGAAATCCCTGAGAACAGGCTCTTTGCAGTTTACCAAACAGATGAAAGAACAAATCCTGTGACAACTGTGTTATGGCACTAGCACTGTCAGAGTTATCTTTGCTACTGTTGCGATGGGAATGGGTGTAGACATACCATCTATTTATTTAGCTTTGCCAACTAGGGCAGGGTCACCACAACAGCATATGCCAATTACTGTGGGCCCTTTTTACCTAACCCACCCTGTCAACTTTCCCTGTGGGAGGAAACCGGAGTACCCGGGGAAAACCCACAGCTTTCGGCAGAGCGTTGACTTTTACTCTTTTCACATGGGGACTGGGTTCGAGTCGCATTGAGAAGGTACTTAGTGAGACTCGAACCTGCAGCCTCAGAGGTGAAAGGCAAGTGCGCTAACCACTTGGCCACCGAAGCCCCTTAAAGCCATCCATTCCAATGCGATTCACATAGGTCCACCATCCAGTGTCAAAGCCTATTTTTAGGGGACTGGAAGAGCTGGAAGGGATGGCAAACCTGCATGGGCCATTTGCATTACAACAATCGAGATATAGCAAAGAACAGGGCTGGAATGCAAGAAGATATGAGAACGTTTTGTAAAAGTGTTGACACCTGTCTGAGATTGTTATTGCTTAAGTCACTTGACCATGAGGAAACCATGGTTGACATACCTCACCTCTGCTGCAACATATGTGCAAAAAAGTGAGTGCCCACAATGTTTGTGACCTTATGCAGAATCTGTAAAATAGAGTGAAAAATACTAGGATGCTGCACAGTTTTATCTATTTATATTGTTACTGTTTTATATCATTTTTACATACTCCAGGGGACAAAGTTGTACATACATGTAAATATACTTAATTTTGTTTCAGTGCAATACCTATAGAATCAACTTTTTTCCACACACATATTGTTGTTGTTTTGTTCAAAATGGATACCACTTATTTGTTGACAGTTAACAACATGTTTTGATTCAATGTTTAATATTTGATTGACTATGTAAAGTAGAGCATTGAATCAACATGTCGTTTTTTCAGAGTTAGTGTTGTAATGAGTATTTTATTCTCAGTGGTTCCCACAAGCACCTTTTTGTATTTTAAACTGAAAATTATAACCACAATGATTCAATAGCTTTCAGTCATATAATGAATAGACACTTCCCGAATTTGCTCTCTGCCAAGGAAAACTACCCTGCTGACAATAGATAACATGGTATCTCGAAATCGCGGAACCAACGGAAACACGCGAGATCTATGAAATACACGCATGAAAAATCATTCGATTTTTTAAAAGTTTCTTGTCAATTATTTCGTTCACCCATTTTCTGGAATTCATTATTATATAAAATTAAACCAATGTGAATACCCAGACGAATATTTCGCCTGTATAAAATAGATGGCAATCATTGTAAAGGAATTTTGAAGGAAATTGGAAGCACAGACGTGTTATTTGTTGAAGCGCTCCGACGGTGAGAAACTCAGGAAATACAGAAATATGGCAACTTCTATTTGTTCTCTGTAAGTTTTTTTTTACACTTTTGCAGACGTTCTAGCTTGATTTCAAATGCCAGTGAACTGTCATTGTCAGATATAATATATTTTCCGTTCTTTCTTTGCAGAGTTAAGCTTCCTCTTCCGGAATATCTCGATGACAAGAAACTGACTGTCGAGCAAAGTCTTGGTAATGGCCACTGTCTTGTTACCTCTATTTGCAAGAGTTTGGCAAGCCAAAAGAACGTGATTGTGTCATCAAATCAACTTTTTATGAAGTGTAAAATCGAATTAGAGGAAAATTTGAATCCATAAACCCGGATCGAAAACTTTGCAGTAATAAATTTACGTGGTGTTTCCACAAACAATTATAGTATTATATGGCTCCCTATTGTTTTGGGATAGACTGAGAATTTATGACTTAGAGTGGAATTTTTAACAATTGTTACTTGTTGAATAGCAATGGCAGTGACCTCAATTTTGGTTAAAATTTCATACTTCTCGGGTGGTATTTTCTATAACTCAGATGCTATTTGGTTTTTAACAAGTAACAGCGCTTTTTAAATCTGGTGACAAATCCAATGCTAGCAATTACAGACCAATCACGATACTCCCAACAATTAGTAAAGTTCTCGAAAAAGCAGTCCACTCTCAAGTTTACCGCTACCTTATTGACAATAAAATACTAACACCACGACAGTTTGGTTTCAGACGTAAACTTTCCACTGAGATTGCGCTTGCACATTTCACGGACACCATTTTGGCTAATATGGACAAGGGTTTAGTAACAGGAGCTGTTTTTCTTGACCTGGCTAAAGCCTTTGATACTGTCGACCATTCTCTTTTATTTGAAAAGCTTGCCTCATCTGGTCTCTCCAATGATTCTGTCAACTGGTTCAAGTCATACCTAAGCAATAGAAATCAACTTACCGCCCTGGCTAACACTGTTTCCTCCTTCAAACACGTTCCTGTCGGAGTTCCTCAAGGTAGTGTTTTGGGTCCACTACTATTCCTTATTTTTGTTAATGATTTGCCTTATTGTATCAACCATTGTGAAATATCCTTATACGCTGATGACACTGTGATATACCTTTCTTCAAACAATGCTTGCGATCTTGAAATGAAGTTAAATTCCGATCTAAAATACCTATGCAGATGGTTTAACGACAATCTTCTGACACTTAATGTCTCCAAGTGTAAATTTATAATTTACGGAAGTTCTCGCAAAGTTGCAAAATTTAACAATGTTTCCATCACGGTTAATGATTCCATACTTGATAGAATTGACTCCTTCAAATACTTAGGAGTTACAATTCAACAAAACCTAACCTGGTCAGAACATATCGACAACATCAGCAAGAAGTTTAATCAACGCCTTGGTCTCATTCGCCGCATAAAATTCTTACTCCCTATTCAAGCCAGACTCACCCTCTACAACAGTCTTGTTCTCCCTCTATTGGACTACAGTGATATCGTGTGGGGAGATAAAAACAACTCCACTCTAATGAACCACCTTCAAGTTCTGCAACATAACGCTGCGAGACTTATCCTTGATCTTCCTCGCCATTCCTCCGCTACCGAAGCCCTTGAAACTCTAGAGTGGAAACCCCTTTACCTACGTCGAAAATACCACCGTTGTATCTCCGTCTTTAAATGTCTTAACCATCTAGTCGACTTTGATTTTAACCTTACCATAATCTCCCGTATACATAGCCATAAAACACGCCAGAACAACAACTACTACCTCCCACGCCCACGTACGAATTGGGGAAAACAGAAATTCACTTATCACTCGGTATCGGAATGGAACTCATTACCTATTGAACTGAAACAATCTACTAATCTTAATCTCTTTAAAACCAAACTAAAACAATTTATCTAATTAAGTTGAACAATTTATCTAATTAAGTTGAGTTTTTTGTTTTTTGTTGTTTTTTTTTGGGGTTTTTTCTAACTATGAAGTATAATTATATTTTTCTAACTATGAAGTATAATTATATATAATCCATTTGTAAATATATTATAGTTTTTAAATAAGCACAGTATAGTTTACCATGTATAATATAGATATATATTGCAGGACCTCCCTGAAAAACACTTCGGTGAGTGGAGCTTCCTGAATAAATATTATTATTATTATTATTAAGTAACATGCAATATTTGTTCAAAAATTCTGCCCTAAATTGTAAATTTTCAGTCGTGCCACCAAAAACAGTATGGAGTCACCTTAAGGTGACAAAGTTTTAAAGAACTAAGGTTTGCAGCAACAAGATGTGGTCATATGTTAGCAAACTAAATTCCTGTGTCTTGCCAATAACCCCAAAGCCTCCATAGCCAATTTTTTATAATTTAGTAATTGTTTTATTTTACACAAAAACTACTGAGAAAATATACTTTTAGTCAGTTTTAGTATTCAGGCTCAAGTAAGCATATCTGTATTGAAACTGACTGTATGCACCAAGTGTTTCTTTGATTTTAATTTATTTCCGATTACCCATGACATATTGTTTGAATGAGAAAGAGGAAAATCTCCACTATCTATGTATACCATATTTTGCAAGTCTTTCCAGCATTGTATGCCTTCAAAAATCGTAGGACTTCTCAGTATCCCCCTTATGTACATTTAGGTACTCAGTACTGCTTGCTTAATAAAAATTATATTCAACTGTTGTACTTAAATCAGAAAGAAGAGAAGAGCTGATAGTCATAACAAAAAGAAGATAATTGTTCTATCTTCCTCTGATGAAAGAACTGTAAGTGAAGAAGAAGTGGAAACAAAGGTGAAAGAAAAATCAGATTGTGAAATAATTATTGCTGAAGAAGAGAAAATAAAGGTAAAGGAAGAATCAGATTGTGAAATAATCAGTGCTGAAGAAGAGGAAGAGAAACTAAATGTGAAAGAAGATTCGGATTGTGAAATAATTAGTGCAGACAGTGATCACAGCAGTGATGTTGATGATAAAACTGTTAAGTATTACGATGATAACCCCAATATTCCAATATTTATTTCTGGTAAATATTCACCTACATCTTCCAGTTTCTTTGATGTACTAGTGGATTCACCTAATTTAAAGTTAGTTTGCACCAAGCTACCTTCTTTTGCAGAAGATAACTTAGCTTTTGTCATATCTTGTAAACAGTCACATGTACCACTGTCAGATATTTCCTGTGATGGACACAGTGGGTGGGTTAATGACGGGGTCCGTACATTCACGTTTCTTAAAAACAAAGAGAAAGATTATTCTCTTGTCAGCAAGAAACGAATCCCCGAGGATAAAATCACACTTTCAACTAGTTAGAAAATATCTTCATCATAGAAAATATCCTGATTTTAAAAAAGCCGTAGCCGATGCAAAAAACTTTCGGGATCAGATTTGCAATTATCTAGTTTTTCTTCAATACTTCTTTACGGGAGAAATTCATAGTATTAAGGGGGTTAAACACAGTAACGCTAAAAAAGCTACACACAATTATAGTCAGACAAAGCCGTCTGTCTTAGAAAAGGCAAAAAGGAACATAAATTAACCGGCAGTTAGATCAGTTACTGCTAACGTAAATGACATTGGTGGAGTCAAGCATACAAATAATCCTGCTGACATGATAACGACTAAACAGTTGCACAACATGAAATACAATCAATCTAAGTCTACCGGCAAACAGCCACAGACGAGCGAGGATGAAATTTTCAACATTATAGATATGGGTCAAAATAAATTTAAGTTTATAATACGAGAAATAAAGCAGTTTCCAGAACCATTTATCGTTTTGGCAACAGGCAAACAGTTGAATGACTTAGAACGTTTTTCCTGTGATGACGCAGAGTTCATAACAATGTCAGTAGACCCAACATTTAAGATCGGCAAATTCAACGTAACTCCGATATCATTTCGAAACCTGACCCTGTCAATCGATTGTGAACATGTATCTTGCCCTGTTGTAATGGGCCGCTGCTTGTGCATTTTTCAAAAACTGAAGAAATATATACAGCATTTTTTCAAACACTTTTTTGAGATTAAGGCCATCACACATTCATTACTAAAGGCATGATGGGGAAATGGTACTTTGCAATGCACTAGGAAAGGTATTTCCTGAAGCTACATCCCTTCGGTGCTTCACACACGTAGAATCCAATATAAAAATGAAAATTTCCAAACAAGGCTTTCAAAGAACGAAAGTAGATTTGTGGATGATATTTTCTATGGCGTAAGCGCACTTCTTGAGAGCGAAAATGGTGCGCAATTTGACAACCTGTTCATGGAAATAGAAAAACCTGGGCAGTTTTAAATGTATCTGGAAAGTTTACCCAGTACATCAAAACACTCGTGCCGATGATGAAAACATCAATGATTGCGTCAGTACGCACTCGAGCCAGGCTAGGGCTTCTTCCTTCGCGATACTACACCAATGATTCAGAGTCCAACAACTTCAGATTAAAACATTGTCTCGGATTCAGGGAGACATCGATACCTAAATTTATACAAGAACTAGCATCTTTCATTGAGGCAGAGAAAAATGATGCCCAAAAGGCTTACTGTAATCTAGCGGGAAAATACTTTGTTAGAATGGAATTTCGAGAGCAGCTAGAGTGTAAAGAATACTTCAAACTGTCAGTTAACCAAAGAAATGCATTTCTCAAAAAAGTATCAGACATAAGCATGTCAGACTTGCTTTCGTTTTCCAAAATTCCCAATGAGGTTAATACTGCGCTCGCTAACGGCGGGATAATCTCCGTTCCCTTTGATAAAACTGGAATTAATATCAGCAAATTTACTTTAAAGAATATATGGTTGGCTGCAACTGAGCTTATTCAAAATTCGCACAAGGTAATTTTGCCTGCACCACGCTTGACAGACAAAATAGCAAAATATTCAGTTTTAAAGTCAATGCGGTCACTGGAAGACACGCAACTTGTTACTTGTAATATTGACTTGGGCATGTTTACATGCGATTGTAAGTACTATGCAGTTCATTCCATCTGTAGTCACACAGTTGCATGTGCTGAAATAAATGATAAATTAAAACAGTTTTTAAAGTGGCATGCAGAAAGCAAACAAAAAACAAACAAATACAAGCAGGCCACGTATAGTTTAAATCTAAAATGTGTCGGACAAAAAGGAAATCGTCCGCGAAGAAATCGGAATGTTCAGCGCGAGAATTCGCCGTCAAGCAAAGTTTCAACTTTTGCTCTAGCCACTTGCCCACAATTAGGAGCAAACAACACTCATTTTATTTTGAAACAACTTGCATGGTTCCCAAATAAGAGTTTGTTATGGGTGTAAACGATCAATTCGAACTCTACCATCTGTACCTCCTCCACCTTTCGATTTTGTGCTAGCAGCTAAAGTAAATTACTCCTTTTCACATCCAACCACTGGAAATCTTGTACTTAAAAAACACTGGAAGCATTTCCACTTTTTGAAATCTTGTATTCAAGATTATGATAATGAGCTACATATTTGCAACCTTATCATGCCTAAATTATCACAAGTCCATTGGGATAAATTAAAAAATCAGTTTGGGTAATAAAGACAGTTTTGGCGTTTTGCAAAAGTTTTCATTCCAAAACTAAAGAGTAAAGGCCACAAAAGTCCAGTTAAGCATCCTATACATATTTCTCATTAATTTCACACCCCGAAAGAAACCCGATAGTTCTGCATGTCTTGTTCTCATGGGTGGACTAGAGAAATGGATTAGAAAGCTATTGACATACTTTTAAGATATAATATAATTTTGAGATAAAATAAGCTTCTGAACATCAACGACTACGTACTTGTTTTCTTCAAGGCAATGCAAAATTCATTCTGGTCCTCTGGCTCTGTTGTTGCCATTTTGTACGTTAAGATATTATACAATTTTGCAACATATGTTGCCTGTTACAGATGTTGCTTTACTCACATGTTGAACTTGATTGATTAAATGCGACAAAGAAGCTGCAATGATTAAAACGACATACACAATATGTTATTAGGGAGCTTTAGATTTTACTACGAATACGACAACGAGGAGCATTTAAAACTTGAAAAACTTCTCAAAGTCGATTAAATCAAACTGAATTTTCAATATTTCGCTTCAAAAACTAATTTTGTTACCATGGTAAAAAAAGGTTCAATCTTATGAATCAAACTCATTATCCGACTATATACAACATTTGTCAAAGATCCAATATTCAGCAGCACGCCGACAACAACTTACCAATGCCAGAAGAAAGTTGGTCATACTTTTAGCTGGAAAATCGCGAAGTCCTACTCCGCGTCGTAGTCAAATCTCTGCCGAGCTTCTGCCACACCTAAACTCCTAAAAGTTTGGTTAAGTCTGGCACATGAATGAAACCGCCTCTGGTGTTGCGTTAATATTTTATAAGGGCCGACCATGACATTTTTTAAGGGGGGTGATTTGGTCTGTGCAAAAAAATATTTTATTTGCTGATGCTGCAAGAATTTATTTTACAAATAATTATAAGATTATGTTACCATTTTCCTTTGTATGATATTCTTCGGGCAGTCCATGAACTTTTTTTCAACCCCCCCCCCATCGAAGTCAAATGGTTGACCCCTAAGGGTAAAGTTTTGTCTTTTCCCGCGGACAATGTACATTGCGTTAAGATGTTATTAAAAAACCTTTGTGTAAAGTTTTAAAAAAATAAAATTTTGTTTAGAAGAACATGTGTCTTGTTTTAACAATTTGTACAGTAAAGAGATTGCGGTGCCTTTGCACAGCATTATCTTAATTCTGCTGATGTTTGTTCCTTCATTTGGAATCATAAGCACTGTACACTTCATGTATGTCTACCACTGATATAAATTAGGCCGCGTAGACTTGGACTGTAGACGACATCTTCCTGGCATTTTGGCATGTCTCTTGTGCTTCAAAATCAAATTTGCCAAAAATTTCACTTGCTATTAAATACAAAGCTGACGTTACCTCTATTCTTAATCTTGCTTTAACTGGTCCAAATAAAAATGGGGGAAAATACAAACAGAAATCAAAGTATAGAGCAACGTCATTCCCAGGGTCTGTCCCTGTTAGACCCTGCGAACGAGGTTGAGTTATAGAGGAACTATTCTCGTACCCAGAGCCCTTCTTACGCGCGGTCAAGGGAGCGCGACGAGGGGCTCTGGCCAAATCCATAACCGGATACCATACAAACATGGTAAGAAAACAATATCCCGGTATTGGAAATAGCCAATCAGATGCAAGTTCGGATTATGGATTTGGCCAGAGCGCCTCGTCGCACCGCGTGAAAGAAGGGGGGTACAAGAATGTAAAGGAACTACCCCATTCTCGTACCCAGAGCCCTTCTTACGTGCAGTGCGTGCTCTGGCCAAATCCATAACTGGATACCATAAAAACATGATAATAGAATATATCCGGTATTAGAACAATTGGCCAATCAGATGCCAGTTTGATATGGATTTGGCCGGAGCCCCTCGGTGCGCTCAGTTGACCGTGCGTAAGAAGGGCTCTGGGTACGAGAATGGGAACTACCCAAGAATCGAACTTGTGTCGCCGGTAGCATAAAATCCCCACACGACAAAGGAACAAATTCTAAAATTAGTTGATTTTATGTATTTGAGGTGTGTTCTAACTGCTCTCAGTATTTATTATAAATATTCAGAATATTTTATTTAAAGTTCAGTTCTGTAATAGGGCACCGCTGGTCAGTACTGTGTCTGGTTAATGTTTATTTGTTCTACGGCTTTTTATGGAAGAATAACACATCTGTGCTTCCACTTTCCCGAGATGGAGTTTCCTTTTCATCCTGATTTTGACCGAAATTTCCTTCACATTTCTTTTACAATAGTTAGGAGCTGTTTACATGGGAATCTTGTTCCCAGAGTATGCCTGTTCGCAGGTTATGTAGTGCCACTACAGTCTACATAACCTGCGAACAGGCATACTCTGGGAATGAGATTGTTTAACATGGAGGCGAGTTACTCGGCAACGGCGAGATCCCGGCTATTATAGAAACTAATAGTAATCCCGGGTGACTGTTTACATGATGCAGCCGAGTAACTTGTCTTAGCGAGTTCCCGGCAGAAAGAAGCGGGATCTCGCCTCGGCAGGATGAATATATTACCATATAAACACTTTGCCCTGGTTCAAACAACTTAAATCCTTTTTGTGTGGCGCCATTTCGGCGTCATGTGGCAATCATGCAGCAAATGGCAAATGCCGAGTAACTCGGTTCCATATAAACAGAGCGCTTGTTTGTCCCGCCTGGGTGAGTAACTCACCTTGCCAGTACCTTAAGGCCTTTTTCCATTACAGTCGCTTTGCCCGTGCGGGCGGAGCGGCCTTTGAAAATCTGCTCACACGAGTGTGACAGGAGGAAAAAACAATGAACGCTTCGCCCGCGCAGGCAAAGCGAACATTAATGGAAAATGGCCTTTAGTCTCGCTCAAGCGCGGCTAAAAACTTTTCAAAATAGCCTATTACAGGCGAAATATTCATCTGGGTGTTCACATTGGTTTTAATTTTATAATATAATAATCAATTCCAGACAATGGGTCAATGAATTAATTGACAAAAAAGAATTGACAGAAGATTTTACTGTTTGAAATGACTTGGTCTATATGTGAAAATGCTCTGCCACAAAATAAGGTGGCTGCATGTATGTGCCTTCACTCACTCAGTCACGCCACAGAATAAAGGCACACAGAAGATCCACTCAGCCAAAAAAGCATAACCGCTGTAACGCCATGATTCGTCATCAAAATGCTGACACCATGGTCCTAGCCTGTGCACGTTTGAGAGGCATTCCCCCCTGGATGTCCGCCATTTTGAATAATACCAGGGGGGTATTGAATAATATCGATATTTGAATAATATCAGGGGGGCACTGGCTAGGGCCAGGGCATCAGTATTTGATGACAAGTTACGGTCAGTGACAGAAATCTTGGTGGGGCGAGGGAGGGGGCAGCCGCCCTCTCCACCCAAAACCAAGAAAGCAGGCTTCTGTGTAGCCTCTATTCTGTGTTCACATGCACTGAGTTGTGTTCTTTGCTAATTCAGATAGGATTATAAACAAATCCCTTAATTATTAATACTTACTTACTAAAATGTTGTTGACACATAATTGGTTTGGTAGAAAACACAACCTCATAGTTTCACATTGAGGTTACCCTGGATTCCAGAGCCTTCGACAGTAAATAATAAATTGAAACGTCACGAAGGCTCTGGTTCAACGGGAAGATTCTTTGATTAATCTGTACTAAAACCACTAATTCTGTTTTGTGATTGGCATGGTTTAATCAGATAATCTCACCTTTGAACCAGAGTCTTCGCAACATTTCAATTTATTATTTACTGTCGAAGGCTCTGGAATCCAGGGTACATTAAGGTGGGAATACTGTATACTGTGCAGTAATCTGTTTGTCCATATGTTTGGCATTGTCAAATATTGTGCTTAAGTATTATAAATGTCACATACATTTTAGCACCCATTGTCCTATACTGCAGTTAGTCATCAGTTTCCGAACTTGTATCCTCTTCTGAATCATCTTCGGAAACAGGAAAATGTTTTAAGATATTACTTTTGTGCCTGTTCACCCAGGTTACAAAGGCATCTTCATCAAATGGAGAGGCGGGATTGTGAGAAATATCCCCCAAAAGATTCAAATCTTCTCCCATCCACTTGTTAAAAGGCCTCACACTTCGCAAGTCTGCCATAATCATTTTCTCATCTGCTACTGATGATTTGTGAGCATGATGTGATAAATACTTGCGACGTAGAGGGACTTGCTTCTCATAGGCTTCCACTATCTTTTTCACACCTCCAGCTGCCTTACTCGCTCTGCTAATTGCTTTCACAGACTTGTTAGCTCCCATTGCCTTGATCATCGCCTTCATATCCTTGTTTCTGTTTTCCTGAAACAAGTCTATCTCAACATTCTTCCTTTCGCCACCATTCCAATTCACTGTAGATGCCCATTTGCATTTGTGGCCTCAGCCTTTGACAGGAGGATTTGGCTCTGCATGATGTTGGTTAGCATCTCAATTGCATAGTCGTTGAAACCAGCCGCAGAGAAGAAGTGAAGTAGTAGCTGCTTATGCAAGATGATGGATAGATGCTCACCATTTCCTGAAGAGACAGCATCTTTAAAATCAGCAAGTAACATGAATGACTACAATACATTCACTGAGTAACAGCATACACCATCACTACCGAAAGGTGGGTCTTCTTCATCTTCAGCCACAAAAATATACTGGTCAAGAAACTTGTCCAGAAAATTTTTTATGTCAATCTTCTTCTGCTCGTCACTTGTAGATGCATCTAAATTTGGAGCATTCTTTAATGGTTTCTGCATTTCATCATCCATATCAAAAAATTCCAGAAAGGCTTCAACAACAAAGCACATGCCAATGCTGAGGAACAGCTGCTCACAATCTTTGTAGTGCTTCACGTCAACTGTGACATTCCTTCTATTTAACGTTTCATGAAAGTACCTCAGTGTACCTTTTTCTCTGCCCGAGTTTTTGTACAGTCTCTTGAAAACAGTCTGTAAAACAAGTTCAAAACTTTCAGATAACTAAATAAACATTCCAAAAAAGTAGGATTATGGAGAAAATGCCAGTTTACTTGGTAAACTACCATAATACCTAATAGTAGTGTTTGAAAAAATTATCCTAGAAAGGGCTAAGTATTAATTAAATTGTATCCCCATATACAGTAAAAATCGAAATAAATAGGGTGCCAAATAAAAATAGTTTTTATCACAGTCTGTAGAATGTCCCTGTACTTGTAGAACTTGATAATGTACAGTACAAGTTACAGGACTTTTAAGATTGTCAAAAACTCTTTATCTCTCTAGTTAGGCCTAACAACAATTGTTTTACAAAAATATCTGGCATTAGACAGAGTAAATACTAAAGTGGGGCACTAATAGTATATCATCTGTCACACCCGTAAATTTGTAGGTGTTCATTCAACATGCACCATGTTCGAATACATACAGTGTATATTAATAATATAATTAGACTGTTCTACAATTATAACTGCGAAATTATGAGAACATTGCATTCTATATCTTTTAGCCCTTTTAATATACACAATATGTGCCAACAATTACTATTTACTCTGTCTAACATCAGACGATTTTACTTTTCAAGGGAGAGCCAATGGCCTCCCAGGGGGGGGGGGGCAAATGGGGCAATTTGCCCCAGGCTCCCAGTTAAAGTGGGCCCCAAAATTGGCAAAAGGGGGGCCACAAAAGGTGTAATAAAAAAAATAGGGGCATGACCAATTAACAATTTGCCAAGAGCCCCCGAATTTCTCTGGGAGGCTCTGGTAATTTAGATGGGCTATTTTTATGACACTTACAGATACATCTACTTCCTAATTATATTCATAAAATCATAAATACCTTCAAGAAACTTCTCTTTGTATGCCAGTCAACAATGCAGAAAGGGTACAGGTGGTCAAGTTGCTGGCTAGCTGAATGGCAACCAGCCCGGAGGTCTTTGGAACCTGCAAGTCGGACCCTTGTTAGTTGATCACCATAACAGGGTATCTTCACACCAGCCATAGGATCATCACTTGATGTAACGGGAGGGAAATGTGATGCTGGTTGATCAGGCCTTGAACGGTTCCCAATGGGAGGTGTTGTGTGTTGACACACCACATTGCACAGTCGAGCAGCAGAATAGATCTTGTACGTCCAATTCTCAAGCTGGTCCAGCACATCTACACAGTCAGAGTACTTTTTCTCATCCTTGAGCAGAATTGGCATGGTGATGACTTCAGACTTCAAGCATGTTTGTTCAGAATACTTGCAATAAGTGACACATGGTATATGAGCTTCAAAAATACGGAATTCTGGTAAGTTGTTCAAAGAGAAGTCTTGCCAAAAGAATCCTGTATCGACTTTTAACACATCCAACTCTGTGTTACTAATTGGAATTATGTCACGAACATTGCATGTTTTTAAGTCTCTCTGTGGACCATCATCAGGTAAATTGTCAATAGGGACACAATAGAAAACTATGCTTGTAGCAACTGCATGCACACTCTTGTTCTGATTGTCTGATCTAACATTGTGTACTTTCTCCTCCCAGTCGATGTTATCTAGCACAAATATAAACTTGTAACCAGTTTTGACCAATTTTATCGCACACTCAAGGAAATGCTGCCCAATGTTGTCCATCATGGTATACTTAGTTATGGGATCGAGACAGAATCCATATTTGTTCAGTCGTTCCATCAACTAAAATAATTATATATAAACATGTGATATTGTAATTCACATCACACTTCATTTATGGACATTTAACAAATATAAAACATTTTCTGTGTTGATATACAGTTATATCAACACAAGTGGAAATTTGGAAAACGAGAAATCGTGTGAACACCAATTTTTTTTAGCTGGCAGAAAGAAAAAGGGGAAGGAAGAAAAAAGGGAAGGAAGAAAAAGGGGAAAAGAAAGAAAAGAAGGAAAAAGGAAAGAAGGAAAAAAAAAGAATAGAAAGAGAGAGTAACTGCACCAATAAGTAGCCATTTTGTTCAGGGAGAGACACTAGGTGTAGTGGGTGCCCCTAGAATAATTTACAAATAACTTTGATAGCAGAATGTAGCCTCATTTCCAGGTTCTACCCCCTTTGGCCCTTTGTTGGCTGCACTGGTTCCAAAATTTGCTATCTGTATTGTTCCCCCTCCCTCCTTAAATTCAATTCCCAATTTTTAGTTCTATAGGAAGTAGTAACAGCAACAAGTATTGCTTATTAGTTGGTATAAATATTTACAAATGCAAAATGTTTTGATACTTCAGGCCTCGAATTTAGCGGCGACCATTGTCGCCACTGGCCGTTGATGTCCTACTTGTTGGCCGCTATGACCTTGAAATATGCTGAAATCCACAGCCAGTAGTGGCCTGCCCTCAACCACAGAGTACAGTACTGTACTTATGCTTTAGAATACCAAGTGTATGATTTGTAGAATGGACCTTTAACCTTATAACTAAAATTTTGATCTAGACAAAAATTTCATCACAGCTTGAAAGAGCATCACAAAATTAGTGATATTCCAAAGTTTCGTTGCAAAATGTTGTAAAATGCGGATAATCACGATGGCCGGTTGCTATGCAGTTTGCTCCCGGAGTCAAATTGCCCGCGTATATTGGTTTCCGGTTTCCTAGCTGTGTAAATTATGGCACGGTTCAAATGCTGCGTCTTTGGCGCTCCTGTTTGTGTTTATTTTTCAACGTTTTAAAACGATACTTGCTCAATCTGTACTACATCGAACCGTCTATTAGCTCGTGTGCACAAATAACCTATATGGTTATTTGAAAACGGTAAAATGTTGGTGTTGTTGTGGCCATGTATTTTCGCCTTTTGAGCGATGAGAATCATGCCGAGAAGGACAAATTGTACTGTCTAGGGGTCCCACAGCATCGCACGTGCATGGCCTACAATCCCCCCTTGAAAACCCTGCTGTATTCGCAGCATTGCCGGAATTATTAACAGAAATAGCTAAGAATTCATTTTTCCTTGTTTTTTTCAAATATTTTTGTTGAAACTTGATTTGGGAGAAACTTTTCAAGGCAAAGTTGAAGAATAGCATTTATTTAACAAGTCTAAATGGATAGCAGTGCCAGAGAAAGGTGTGGTAAAAAGTCTCTTTGACGAACACATTTGCATTTTATACGTGTTCATGATGCGCCATGTTGTTGCTTCACTTCCCGCTGTGTTGCCTTTTTAGTTCGATAGATTGCCATAAAAGTCAAACATGTGATCGAAATAAAGGACATCCAGGAGTGTGCAACACGCAGAGACCACTACCTGATAGTTTTGGGGGAAAAGTTCTGTTCTTTAACTCATAGAAGCCAAGGAGATCTGTCATGCAAGTCACGCGAGGTTCATATTTGTTTACTTCACCTCATGCTGCGCGTCTTGAGTTAGCTGGTTTCTTGACTTTGATAAAAGCTTATTGTGTGCCTTACGCAAGTTTTATTTACATTAATATAACTACAGAAGACTGAGTTATAGTTTACAAAAGAAATCAGTTGCACATGCCTTTATTTAAGCAGAGATGAGGGAGCCGTTTTCTCGATATTAAAGACAACATGCCTTGGTAATCTGATATATAGTGGTAGATGTACATGAAAAACGTTTGGAATTGTAACTAAATGATAAAATTAAGTGTGCGTAAAGACATGAAATCAGTTTCAGGGAAAGCTGCGTATCTTAAGGAATTTTAATCTCTAGTATACTGTATGTTACTATTATTTTATGCGGTTACGGATCTTGCGCAGTCAGGCAAGAAACTGTAGTAGGCTGTAGTATACTTGGCAGGTATGATTGCACTGTAGCTAAATCTGCTATATATATTGTCAAATGGAACTATGTGTTTATATATGAATATCTCAAAAATACATCGTACACAAATATAATATGAAAGCATTTTATAATAGCATATTCAACAAACAAATATTCTTGCGAGAACTATAGTATAGCTAGGTTTTTTGACGCGACTAACCAAAACAGTCGGTATGTTTCTCTGTCCGGCTGTCGATATATTACTTTAAATCGATCTATGTTATGTATTAGCAGCATCAGATAATTTCCCCAAAATTACCTGCATATACTGATGAAGAAACACGAGTCTAGGCGAAAAGAGGAACAGTTTGTACATTGGTTTGCGTTCCGTATCATGAAATATAAACTATACGGGAGCAAATATGATATACCGTCTGCGGCGCAGGCTAGAGGTATTCAACGGCAGTTAATAGTTCCGACCAGTTATTTGACAGCTAAATAAAATTATCACAATCGTTCCATTTAAATATGGAAGTTTATAAATCAGTTAAAATATACCAACAAATTTGTTTTAACTGCAAGAAATTTTAAGCCAAATACATGACCTTTCCGATTATAAGGTTAATAAACAACGCCATTTCGCATTCACACCAACACCGCTGGAAAAAACGAAACCCACGCTTCCGGGAGCAAAATGCATAGCAACCAGCCACCGTGAATATAGCCTTGCAAAGTTTGCCGTTTTTCAGTCATTTTAGAGTACCAGCGGAAAATTGATACCCAAATCGGGTGTTGGGGTATCAATTTCCTGTTTGTAATCCAAAATGACTGAAAATTGCAAACTTCGCAAGGCTATTTTATCCGCATTTTACAACATTTCACAACGAAACTTCGGAATATTACTAATTTTGTGATGCTCTTTCAAGATGTGATGAAATTTTTGTCTAGATTTGTCTAGATCACAATTTAAGTTATAAGGTTAAAGGTCCATTGGCAATAATCAACTTATGTACTGTACATGCATCCTATTAGTTATAGTTTAATAGGTAGTTACGATACATGTAAATATGATATGAATAGTTTCGCTTGCCATTTTTTTAATTGTTATTTTTAATTATTGATCTGTATATTTTCCTGTCTCATGGAAACCCAAACGTTCTTTGAAATAAAATGAATAAAATTTCAAACTGGCCTTGATGCCTTGAAAAACTTAGTAACATTTAAGGCCAAACTGGCCTTGCCTTTATTTTTCCCAAATTCGAGGCCTGTAGTAGTATAACATACTGTCAGTATCAAGTAATACAAGGAATAGAAAATGAAGTTATTGGTATAAAGGAAGACTTAGTTTACATACAAGTACCCTATTTACAGTATATAATTGAAGAAGTTTGGGTTTCAGTTAAACAGCCTATTGACTGTCAGCATTCATGCTCCAAGGCATGGATCCTCTTCTCAAGACATAAAGAGATGAATTTCGACAATTTTATCATGGTTTCATTATCAGTTGATTTCATTATCTCAACTGGTAAACTGTGTTCATTGGTGGGATCACATTCCAAGTAAGAATTCACGGGGAGTTATGAAGTAATGTTCTGTTTAAACTTCTCCTGACTGACAGACCTTGCATACTTGGTCTTCTCGTGGAATAAACAAAACATGGACATTTATCCCCCCTGGCACCATGGGCATACCGGGGGGAGCCCCCCCAGTTTGTTGGGCAAACAAAGCCAGTCAGGCAATATTCAATTCACAGTTGGGCAATATTGGTTTATTATAAAAGTAAACGGGGCAAATTCTGTCAAATTTGTGGGAATTCTGTCAATTTTGTGGGAAATATGCTATCTAATAGGAAAATTTTTTTCGACAACTCTGGCCCAATCCGAAAAAGTCAGGCAAATTTCTTTCAGGCCCCTAATTTTTTCCTTCCCATACGCCCATGCATGGCACCCAATATTTCATAAAGTGTCTGCCAGTGATTATATTATAAAAAGCACAACTAAATGCAATCATAGTTATTAGAAAATAAACATTGCTAGGAAGATTCGTGAACTTCAAGTAGTTTCCTAACCAAACTTCAATTGATGTTGAAAACTTGAAATCTACCTAAAAGTACACAATTTGTTGATCAATATGAAAATCTTACAATTGAAGCAATTGCTTCATTATACAGAACAAAATGTTCACTCACTGTGAAAGTGCACAAATTTCCATAAAGAACAAGAGGTGAACAAAAACATGGAACTTACAATACCTTTTGTCCAACTTCTAAATCATGTTTGTTTTCAGACTATTAATTGTAATGCAAATATTAATACAATTTAAAACCATTTTGGAAAGCACACAAATTTACAGTCTTTCCTTACTTGTTTATTTCAATTAAATCCTTTCCTCAGAAGCATCATGAAAGAAATCTTCTAGGACTGCCACAGCTTTTATATAGTACTATGGTTATTTATATTCACCGTAATCACTGAGCCTGAGGCGAATAATTGTTTTAGTATAAATTTTTAGTGAATAAAATAAAATATCCAAATATCAGTTCAATTAAAATTCAGAAATAAAACTGTTTTCTGCCTGTTCACGGTTACTCTCACTAACAGTGTTGCAGTGTTTCTTGTCAAAATGGCTTCTTGTGTGACTTTATTGCTTTATTACAAAGTTGTTTTTATCGATTTCTGCTTAGAATATAAACACAATAACGGAATGACTTTTTCACCAGACTTAGAATTAAAAATAGTTTCTGTTTAGCAATAATTTTTCAGGAAATGGCTGAGAAATTTGGTAAAATGAAATGTAAAACTATATTGTTTGAAATAAAGTTTTAATAACACTTTTTCTTTACAAGTTTCGAAAACACAATACAGCGGTCAGAACGCCATACAGAACAATGAAAACATGACATATCAAAAGAAATAGTATCGTACAAATTGAGAAATCTATAGCCATA